TAAGAAATCTATATTGTTAGTGATTAACTATATATCCATCAGGGATTCAGAACAAACTTGTGATAAGTGTGATTTGTTTGCTTTTAAATAATTATCTGTCTCTCACCCACACACATGACAACATAAATAATGAAGCCACTCCTCAGTGATACACATCTAGGAATTTATGCAGAAACAAAATATGGCATATTACAAGCCTAGTAATTTAAACACAAATTGCTAATGTCCCTCCAATTACCATATAATCTTAACATCAGCCATGCATGTGTACTCACAAAAGAGTAATTTTTCTGTTGTGCATTTGTTGGAGCTTTTATACATTTAATTCAGGTTGCAATGCTGTATCCCTTTAACTAGTAGGGATTTGCTTTTGAGTAGATACACACTAGGGTTTTCATGTTATAGATCTTATAGAAAAGGGATAGGAGCTGTTTAGCCTACCAGATATTGCTGAATTACAACTCACAGCAGTTTTAGCTATCATAGTCCATGTAAAAAGATTACAACTATTTTGTATAATGGAAAGCTGCAGAGGAACTTGAATATTTTAACAAAATAAAAAAAATTATTTGGACAAATAGTCTTTTGAAGGTATAGTCTTAGAACCCAAGCCATTTGACTATAAAGTTCAAATCATAGGGACAACTTTGAACTTTTCAATAGTATGTACTCATCATAGGCAACAAAGGTTCCTTGTAATTCTTCTTTCCAGAAGACTTAAATGCCCACTAGGTGCAGGAATGCATCTTGAATTTGAATGTTATAAATTTGTATGTCTTCTGTGTGCACAGGAATTATTATTCTTAAAACTTTATCGAATGCCCTAGGTACAAATAGTTATGCATTTCCCTGGCATTTTGAGTGAGTAAAACTTTGCTTTATAAAAGTATTTCCTACCCTACCTCCATCTGTCTACAATTCTTCCCCAGGCATCCAGTTTTTTTAAGGGAAAATTGTTCTGAGGAAATGGGGAGAACAATTTCCCTTTTCCATTATTTTGCCTTTGTATCTCTAAGCTAGAGTAGTAGGGAATGAATTATAACAGGAAGAGGAGTACATCTGATAAATACCCTGGTGTTGCATTTAGTTCAGTGGTGAGCATAAAACAGATAAATATATACTGATAAAGTTCTGAGTGATATTTAGTATATTCCCAAGGATGTCAGGACTCCTACTTGTTTAAAAATAACACCCAAGTTAAAGCACCCAAATTAATGAATAACACTTGGGAAAACAGCAATCGTTTTTTGAGAGTGTATGTGTAGGAACATATTCCAATTTCAGAGTTCACCTCTGATACTAGAAACATCTCTGAGTTTAGCCATATGCTCCAAAATACATAAAGTGCATAGAATACATCTATCCATTTTATGCAGTATTTTGTACTTGCCTCTGGCTGGTGGACCTTGGGTTTTTAATTAAAGAAAGAAAAATAGATTTTATTTATTTATTTATAACCTGCTTTATCTCTCCATACAGAGACTCAAAAGAGGCTCAATATCAAAAACATTGCAACTTAAAATATATAAAAAATAATAATAAAACAATATATCATTATATATTATTATATATTATCAGTAGTATAGTATTTAATATATTAGTATTATATGACAATATTATTATATATTATTATATTGCATTATTATTAATATTACGGTATATTGTATTCCATTATAATATTATTATTAATATTATCTGGATATCTAATATATAATTTTTTTCCATAGCCCAATATTAATATTATATTAGATCTGTTTGTCTTGAGGTCTGCTTGCACATGGCCTACCTCAGAAGTAACATTCAATCTTGGCCTTCATTGTACTGCAGTTTACAAACTAATCAAGACATGATAGGAAGCCATGTAGCCTTGAAGATACTGGGCTTCTACTCGCAAGAGGACTTTAAGTCATCTGCATCTGGAGGATTACGTATTCTCATCCCTTGTTTAGAGTATACGGACTTAAGTTCATGTCATAAAATAGAGTGTACAACCAAAATGACTTTACAGCTATTACTTTGGTTTAACAAACTTTGCAGACTGAACTTTGATACAAGACAACAACAGAAAAATGGCATTCTTACAATGCATAGTCTTCCCCATACAATTTAGTATCATTTGATTTATATCACCTGGGACCAGAATTTCGAAAGACAAGGTCCTAGACTGTTGAGAGGGCTGGACCAAGGCTAGTTCAGACAAAAAGAATCATGGGGCCGGAGGAATGGTAAAGTGCAGAACTGGTCCTAGCAATGGCCATACTGGGGGCTGGGGCCTCTCATTTTCAGGACGTATTAAAGGACTATAAAAAGGATCTTGGCCAGAGGAAAAAGTGCTCTGAGAGTACAGAGACATGGGGTAATGAATGGAGTGCACGTCCAAGATAGACAGACAGACAGACAGGATAATAATTAAATAATTAAAATCAAACTTGGTTTTGAGTACATTTGACACATAGAAGTGATGGGCATTTCTTAGTCACCACTTACATACATGCTTTTTCATGGATCTACTCTACTTTGGTCTAAAATTGGATTTAACGCATGTTGAGTGTGATCTATCTAGCTCCTTTGTATCATATTATATAACATTTCTCCTTTGGAAAAGCTAATTATTTTAAGGTTTTTACCTCCACAACTTCTCGCACAACCTGAAGTTCCCAAGAAGATAATTTCACACATTCTTTACTAATGAAAAAAAGTAGAAGAGTGATGTTTTGTCAAGCATGAGAGAGTCTGAAAAAAAATTGCAAAAAAACTCAAAGCAGCTTAAAGGGGGTGTGTGATTTAAGCTTCTCAGGAATGTACTCTCACTATTGAGTGTAAATGTGTTCACTGTTGAGGATCAAGAATGGAAGGTATACACTTCAGCAAAGATGGTCGCTTTTGAGTGTTCGTTGATGCTTCTGAACTTTCTTTGAACACTTCAGAAATTTCAATGGGCTCAAAATGCGACTGCTTTCTACTTGCTGATGGCAACACATTATCCTTGTTGTGTGAGCTATGGATGCCAGTGTGTTTCCTAACACAATTCAGAAGTTTAATTTTGACCTTTAAATAGGCTGGGCTCAAGAAACTTCAGAAATGGATGTACTTCCCTGGGTCCTGAGCTTTTTTAAAAGCTACAGCTTTGTGAATCCCAGGTGGCCACAATTACTGCAGAAATTTTGAAGTTGTTAGAAAGAAATGTTTCCAATAGGACTTAAATTGATGGAGAAGAAAAAGTACCTTCCTTTTCTGACCTATGATTTATTGTTTACAAGGCATGAACTGGTTAGAAATAGTGACAAGAGTAACAGCAAATGCACACTGTTTCTTTTTTCTTTTCTTTTAAACTACGCATTTTCTTTTCCTTAGGAGGCCTGGTATTAATTCTTGGCATTTTAGCCCTGTTGCCTACAATACTGATACAATCTATTTGTTTACATTGCTGATGCTAATTATTATATAGCACTATGTTTTTGTATAGATATTCAAGGGTAAAGCCAACTGCTAGTCCCAACTGGAGTAGATCACTTGAATTAGCAGTGGAATTTAGCTTTCAGCCTTCATAGATAATTAAGAGTGTGTGTTGATATCTTGGTGAATCATTTTGTTTGTCTCTTGCAGAGGTTTGTGATTGATAGATCTTTAACGCATTGTGATTGATAGATCTATAACAGTAAGCCTAATATTTGCAGACCTTGACAGTGATTTTCTCCCTAAGGCCCAATGTTTTTGTTGCAATCAGCCATTCTTTGGAAAAACAAACATCCATGCTGACATATAATTCACATTGGAGGCAGAGAAATATGTGAATACATCATGATGTTCCACAAATTTGTTGTGGTGTAAATGCAAATGGGAAAAAATATTGAAACCATTATAGGAAGAGTTGCCTCAACGCTACTGCTTTGATTCTGTTCTATTTTCGCATGTGAAAATTTACAGCTTCAAGTGATGCTGCTAAAATATTCAAACTAGGAGTGAGAAAATTGCAACCACAAGAGAAAAGCACACACACACACAACTTCTCAAAACACGAGTATATGTTTTCTGTCCCTACTACATAATAGTCCTAATAATTGCGACACTTGGGAATTGTTGTCAAACAGTTAATACATAAAACAGCACATTCCAATTTGTTTAGTATAATCTATTTCCGTATTAATGCCAAGGCTCTCACATTGCATGCTGTTACATTCTTCACTATAAAAGATATCAAGGCAATTTAGTAGTGATACCAGATTCTGATTATTTGTTATGACTAGGGTACAGATCTGCAAAATACAGATCCTGAGGTAGAACTCAGAAATTAAATCTGGTATTATTCTGTAAAAGTTATGGAGGTCTGCACTGAAATTTGTGTGAGGTCCTTAGTAAAAAGAAATCATGGTTTATCTATACTTTAATCAGTCAAAAATTCTAAAATGCTGACATGTAATATTAATGCTGAAATTGTGGTCTATAATTTTGTCTGTTATGTAATGTTTATTTTATTTGGCAAAGTATCATTTGATGTACTATTTTAATTTTTTCAATGAATATGTTTTTGCAGCTAGGCATAATTGCTGTTGTTCATTATGAACTTTGGCTTATGACAATCCTATGAATGAGAAACCTCTATGGCCTCTAGTTATCAGTTGCCTTATTCACATCTTAACCATTAAAGACTGCTTGTGAACAGAGGCAGAGAGGTTATTTTGTTGATTCCCAGCTTCTCATACCATTCTCCAGAATGTCTGCTCCCTTTTGGAACAGATTTTTGTATGTTGTAGACAGCTTATAGTGAGTATTAAAGAAAAGTGCTGTTCTCTTAAATAGAATGTCATTCACTGGATGTTTGGATCCAATTTATGCGTATAAGTATATTGTATATCTCAACAGAAAATTTCTCCTTTGTCAGCATCAATATGGAAATACTACTTTGCAAACATTCCCAGTTATTTGCAAAACATGTTCAATATTCAAACTCAAACAATTTCTGTCTTTGTGTCTCTCTCTGTGACCTTTTTACATTGTAGGCTGAGGAATCCTGCAAATGCAATGGATGGAAAAACCCTAACCCACCCCCAACTCCACCCAGGGCAGATCTACAGCAGGTGATTGTGAGTCTGACTGAAACATGTCGTAGCTGTAATCATCCATTAGGTAGGCTTTCTGCCTTTAATTCTGGAATTTCTGTATATTCATTTGAAATGTGTAATCTACTCACTCTCCAAAGTTTTATGGAAGGTGACACAAATCTAACCAACATAACTCTGTCATTGAAATGTAAAATGTTCACATGCCTTTTCTTACACTTATTAAATTGAGTGATGTATAATACGATCCCCTCCATACCAGTAAGATCTATCTGTTTTGCTTACCTGCATCTGTACCTGTACTGGTTACAGCATTTATGTTTGAAGGGATCACTCATATGTAATAGGAAATAGAAAATAGGAAATAGAAGTAAACCTGTCAATTCCAATACTGGGGATAAAGTGTAATGCCCCTTATTATTTCCCCCTCTGTACACATGTGAATAATTTTTGGAAATGTGTTACCAAATTGATAAATAATAGTAAAGCATAAATCCTCAATAAATCTTAGGTCTAGACCCTTTAGGAATTGATTCAGTAGGTCTAATCTAGTTGAGGCTAGTAGTTGAAATTAGGTCATAATAAGTATGAAGACTATGCTGGTATAAGCATTTCAATTGCTCCTCCTTTGTGATGTCTAGGAACAATCAAAACACTGGCATTAAAAAAACACTAAAAAAAAACACACAATATATGTTATGTAGTTACTTTGGCAGGAAAAACGAAATGCAAAGATACAGAATGGGGGAGGCCTGGCTCAAGAGCAGTATTGTGAAAAAGGATCTTGGAGTCCTCGTGGACAACGGTTAAACATGAGCCAAAAATGTGATGCGGCAAAAAAGCCAATGGGACTTTGGCCTGCATCAATAGGAGCATAGTGTTTAGATCCAGGGAAATTATGCTACCCATGCTCTATTCACCCTTGGTTAGACCACACCTGGAATATTGTGTCCAATTCTGGGCACCACAATTCAAGAGAGATATTGACAAGCTGGAATGTGTCCAGAGGAGGGCGACTAAAATGATCAAGGGTCTGGAGAACAAGCCCTATGAGGAGCGGCTTAAGGAACCGGGCATGTTTAGCCTGAAGAAGAGAAGGCTGAGAGGAGATATGATAGCCATGTATAAATATGTGAGAGGAAGCCACAGGGAGGAGGCAGCAAGCTTGTTTTCTGCTTCCTTGGAGACTAGGACGCGGAACAATGGCTTCAAACTACAAGAGAGGAGATTCCATCTGAACACGAGGAAGAACTTCCTGACTGTGAGAGCCGTTCAGCAGTGGAACTCTCTGCCCCGAGTGTGGTGGAGGCTCCTTCTTTGGAAGCTTTTAAACAGAGGCTGGATGGCCATCTGTCAGGGGTGATTTGAATGCAATATTCCTGCTTTTTGGCAGGGGGTTGGACTGGATGGCCCATGAGGTCTCTTCCAGCTCTTTGATTCTATGATTCTATGAAAAGTTCTAGACAAACGGCTTTCCAAGCTAAGATAAGGAAGCTACTTTTTAAAGGGAGGATTGTATAGTCAAAGTCCAAAAGACAACTTCAAGCTCTGGTTTAAAGCTAGTTTTTCTGGTCCTGTTTCTTTTCTCTTTTTTTTTTTGGGGAGGGGGGTGGGGAATATCTCTCAGTCCTGAGTCTGACTGTGGGTTCCAGTGTTATTCTGCATTCCTAGTTTGTTTTCCCACTTGTAGGAAGAGAGGACTAAAGTGGAGTAAATACGAGGGGTATTTTTTAAGTAAGGTCTGTTTGAACATAAGTACACAACGAAAGTTTATTTCAAAAAAGTAAATTTATTTTCAGAAAGTACATACTTCACTCTATTTTTCGACATAGTTGCCAAGTTTGTTCAAACACTTATCATACCCCTGAACCAATTTTAAAATACCCTCTTCATAAAAACTTGCCGCCACCAAAAATCGCCTGTAATCAAAGAAGGGCGACCGGAGCGGTCCTCATCATGGACGTTGTCACGGCCATCTTTGAATTGTCGTACCCACTTACGCACTTTGCTTTCACTCATAACAGTATCACCGTACACTTCACAAATCTGTCGATGAATTTCTGCAGCAGGCAGGTTCCTTGCTGACAAAAACCGTATCACTGAGCGAACCTCACATGTGGTGGGTGAGTTGATAGTCTTAAACATTTTTAAAGCACAGAACAGAACCATACAGGTTAGCTACAGAGCGGAAACTGAGCACAGTTGTTCCCGAGGCATGCCAGTACACGACGCACGCGCTCGTTGCGGTATGCGCACGAACTACTAGTGTCTACAACAAAACGGACCTTACTTTAAAATACCCCTTGTAGTATGTTGGTATTTCATATCATGTTTTGATACGATAGAATTCATAGTTTGCTGGGTTGTATTAATATGACCAGGGACATATATGAGTCTGCTGAAACTATGGATTTGAAAATATTTAGTTAGCTCTACAGGACAAAATCTTGAATCTAATAGCCATAGAAATTTCTTTCTTTTCTTCTTACAATCCCCCAAATGAATGAGGCTTGGCATAAGACTCACTGTCATTATGTTTAGTTTACTGTTTTTTTAATGTTTTGTGTTTATTGTTTATATGTTTATATGTTTTTTACTTTAATGTTATGTTGTTTATTTTATTGCAATTTGTATCTCATTGTATTGTAATTTGTTGTTCTGGCTTGGCCTCATGTAAGCCGCTCCGAGACCCGTTGAGGAGATGGTGGCGGGGTATAAATAAAGATTATTATTATTATTATTATTATTATTATTATTATTATTATTATTACTAGACAAGAGCACATTCTGAAAGACACTGCCAGGATATTCACCATAATGAATATAAGTAATATAATGAAGATTTATATTTAACCTGACTGTGTGTATCTTACTGTATTGCTGGGAGAGTGTGACTGCTTAACTTCTGTGTCACCCCAAACTAGGCAGTTGGCCACTTTATTTATTTATTTCAGACATTTATATCCTGTTCTTCTCACCCCCAGAGGGGGACTCAGGGAGGCTTACAACCAGCAACCATTAGATGCCAACAACAAAAAAGCACAGTTAAGCATTAGTTAAAACACAATCATAAGTTTAAAAGACCATTTAAAAGAAACACGTCCAAGTCCAGACGCATAATTCAAAATCCATCCATTGTCAATCACATGTTTCCTTTATGATTGTTACTGCTGTGACTACTGCTCGAAAGCTTGGTCCCACAGCCATGATTTCAATTTCTTTCTGAAGGAAAGGAGAGAGGAGGCTGACCTGATTTTGTTAGGGAGTGTGTTCCATAATGAAAACTTATACTTCCAATAGTGTGTACAAGTCTTCCTCTGAAGCCAAGAGAGTATGACTGCACAGCTTCCAGAACAAAACAAATCTGATGCCTTTGAGTTTGTTAGGCCATGAGTTTGACCAGGCAGAACCTGGAGAGGGCCTCTCAGATACAGGGGGAAACCACATGGCCTCCTTTGAAATAGCCCCAGCCTGAGGCAGCAATATTGCCCCTAAGGCATAAAGCCCAACATGAGGTCTGAACAAAATGGAGACCTCCAAATGAAAGCTTCCTAATATACTGGCAAAGGCTATAAAGCAGAACATGAGGTCTAGAACAGTGGATGCCTCCCAATATAATGGCAAGATTGAAAGTCTAACATGAGGCCTCAACTGCCCTCCCCCCCAAATCTAATATAATCACAAAATCTAAGCCTAACATGAGGCCAAAGCTTAACTCCTAGCGTGAAGCATACAATAAAATGTAGACCTCAGAATGTGATTTTTTGTGTGTGTCAGGAGTGACTTGAGAAGCTACAAGTTGCTTCTGGTGTGAGAGAATTGGTCAGCAGCAAGGACGTTGCCCAGAGGATGCCCAGATGTTTGATGTTTTACCATCCTTGTGGGAGGCTTCTCTCATGTCCACTGTTTTCAGATTCGCACTGCTGACCTGTTGGTCAGTGGTCCTGCCAGCACAAGCGTTTAACCCATTGCGCCACCGGGGGCTCCCTCAGTATGTGGTGACACAGTTAATGAGTGGAATTGCCTGTGCCTTCCTGGGGCTGAGAGTGTGACTCCCTCCAGACAACAATTCATTAAGAATTATTTTTAATGAAGGAGTTGCCTGCAACCTTCCTCTGTGGCCTAGCAATCATGATTTGAGGCTGAAAGAGTGTGGCAACAATTTATTAAGAGTTTATTCTAAAAGGGGGAGGAGGGCAAACCACTGCTACAGGATGTGCCTTTCAGGAGGCGAACTCTTCATACCCAAACCTCCAGCCCTTATGTTCTGCTGGAAAATCCCTGCCAATAAATGCCAAGGGCAGAAACTGCCCAGATTGTAGGGCAATTCTCTGGGGCAAAGGCATAGCAATATGAATCCTACTATCCTCTGGAAAAGGGAAGAAGAGGAAAATGCCTAATCCCCCATTAGAAACCTGCCTCCTACCTAAACTTAAAGCAAAAAGCACAGCAGGGGAGTGGAGCAGCCTTAGATAGCCTGCAGCTTCTCCCCTGTCAACCGCCCCCACCAAATCTGGTCTCCTTCATGGGGGCCTTCAAATTCTCCCCTGCGCTTTAGGCTTTGCCTGTCTGTTGTGGGTGGACCAACTTGCTTTCTTCCACTATATCTGTGATTGATGCTTTTGCTATGTAAATTGGTGGAACGATACCGAAATGACAGTGAGAGTCAATTTTCAAAATTTAGTTGAGCTAGTGCTTGCAGTTCTGGAGGAACTCTTAATTTTTGCTTCTCATAGACTTAGCATGGGAATTTTTTTTAATCTGAAAAATGGGGGGTGGGTGGGTGTTGAATCCCTAACCAACTCCTCCATCTACAGGCTTGCCTGGAAAGTAAAGTAAATTTATTCTTCACCAGTATCTTATATAAGTAATACAAATATAAGGGGAGATCTACTGACCATAAGATAAATTCCAGGCTCTTAATTAAGGTGATAATTTTATTAGGATAACTTGCTCAGACTTTGAAAGCTTAGTCAATGAATTTTGTACCCTTTTGGTTGAAATAATAAAGTTATTATGGAAGCCAGCTGGTCATTCCTTGAATTAGCCTTCTGTTAGGTATTCTGCGTTTTTTGGCAATTTACTTTTAAGCATTAGATTTATATGTTTGTTTTAGCTGCTCATGTTTCACATTTGGAGAATGTCTCTGAAGAAGAAATGAACCGGCTTTTGGGGATTGTTCTGGATATAGAGTACCTTTTTACCTGTGTTCATAAAGAAGAAGATGCAGATACCAAGCAAGTCTATTTCTACTTGTTCAAGGTAAGTTCTAGTTTTAATTGTTTTTCAAAATATTTTCAGTGCTGTTTTCCTGCAATCCTAATACTAGTAATAAAAAACTGGATAGTATTTGACCTCAAATAGGTTGTATTTTGCTAGTGACATTTTGCAGTTCTATCCCAACAGCTTAATCAGACAAGATATAGAAATTTTTGGACTACAGTTCTTGGATATCACAGGCAGCATATTTTTCAATATGTTTGTATGAGGTAGGGAGAAAAGGCAGATACAATCAGAAACTTGTGAATTGATTCTTCTCACAATCAGCTTTAGTTTGCTTTTATTTCACTGGAAAAAGGATGATTGAATGAGCCATTATTTAGTTGCCTTTATTTTCTCTACTTGCCAGTAAACTGTCAGTTAGTGGGCTGTCCTGGTTAGAAAACCTGACTGAAAAAGAAGAGATTGAAATTCTAATGCCAAAAAACTCACTTGGTCCCCTCACTGCCTCTCAACCTAATTGGCCTTAGGCTATAGTGAAGATATAGGCCACACCAATGCTGATTGTTTATCCTGAAAGCTGGGGGGAGTGAATCAGCTCCATGGTGGATGTACAACATACAGAGCTGATTTGGGTTAACATGGTCTTAACTGTATTAAGAAAAGTTGCAGATAGCTCTGAACTTTCCCCAAAAATATAGAGCAAACCACAACTTTGGGATAATATAAGCTGTTGGGCCAGTTCTGAGAGAGAATCACCACAACTGTTTACACAGCCATCTGTATTCTCCTGGCTCATGCCACCCAGGAACACAGGATGGCACTCACCTGTTCTCCACAAAACAGTGGGCAGTGGCCATAATATGACATATTTATTGCTCATCACCTAAAATAGCATTGGCAGGGGGTCCCAGAGCAATCAGAAAGGGGAGGGGGAAAGAAGAGGGCAATTCTTCATGTCCCCTTTCCCCTCTCCCATGTTGCCCTGGCACCCCAGCCAACAGAAATGAACTATCTTGCGTTGCTAGCTGCCACTATAACAAGAACAAGAAGGGGGTAGTCAAGACTCCTTTCTTCCTCTGCAGCAGCTGGCAGTGAAAACCATCCTGACTCTGATCCAGAATTCAACACTCTGGATTGGTCCCAGCGTAAAGGATCTGCATTGAACCATCCTTGGCCTCTTAGACATTTTCACTTAGGTTATAGTGATAATACCAGCCATGTAAGTCTCCTCTGTGCTCCTTAAAGAAACTTTGAGATAAAAATGGCAGTAATAAACACACTAGTTTATTTGTGTATCATTTTTACAGTTAAAAGTTATTTAAATAGTAAAATTGTTTTATATTTTTCAACAGCTTTTGAGGAAGTGTATATTACAGATGGGGAAACCTGTTGTAGAAGGATCTTTGGAAAGTCCACCATTTGAGAAACCTAGCATTGAACAGGTAAAATACATAAGTGTTTCCTGATAGCATGTGTCTTCCTTTCTCTAGTTTTAATTTAAATAAATAAAATTTAAATAAATAAAAAATATTTTGATGCGCTTGGTGGGGTGAAAATATCACGTTTTGTCATTGACCCAAAGGAAAATTGAATATTTAAAGTTCACATTAGGATCGTTTTACTCTACTTTTTCAAAATGCTAACAGCTACTTTAAATCAATTGCATGTTCACTTTCATCTGAATGTGAAATGATTGCATTTAGTTTAAGGAGTACTCTTTTTAATGCATTCTTTTGTACATGTCTGCAGAGAGGCCTTTGTTCTTTAGTTCAGTGCCCCAGGAAATTGGATGGAAAAAGCATCTTGTAAATTGGGAAATCCACCATTAGCAATACAAAAGAGGAAGTTTTAAAGGAAGCCAGTAGATGGTAGCAATTTGTATCACTACAAGATTCTAGGTAGGTAGCTATCATCTTTAGAAAACAAGGTCCTTATTCAGGAAGGTAACAATTGCAATTAGTTATCTGGAGATATCAATCTATCCATCCATCCATTGATCAGTCGATTGATAGATTGATTAATCAACAGATTGATAGATATAAGTAACTGCTGAAGTTTGAGCATATGAATTGTCTTCTTGCCTTGAAACTACAGTGATGACCTTTTAAAAAAGAATAATGTATGTTATTAATTACATAACTATTCCCATTTAAGTGGGTTCATAATAACTGTTACTATGAAACAAAGTCCACATTTTATAGAAGTGGATGGGGGAAAGCTGGATTCAAATTCCATCATCCTCAACTATCATAGCCAACAGTAGGGGCAGATGAAAATCGCTATTCACTAATATCTGGAAACCCACATTTTCCCTATCCTTGTAATAGACTGCTGTCAAACAATTTTAATTGACATTGGTTTGACTGATGGAGACCAGATTCACAAGCAAGAGTGGTATTTTCTTGTTGTTAAGATAGGTCTGTTTTTACTAGTAGTGGGAGCCTAGTTCATATATGGACCTCTGGACAGTAATCATTGAGTAGGATCCAGCCAAGCTTAGGATTCTGTGCACAAGAAGAGCAGCTACTATGTGTTTTGGATCCCGATACGAAAGAAAGTATATAACTTTTAGAGCCTATGACCTTAAGAAAATTTGGAAGACATTTCTGAGCCCCACTATCTACGGATCTTTGAAAAATGAATCATGTAGGTTGGAAGATACTGACAGCTACAGTGCAAAAAAGTGACTTTTCCAAGATGTGAATGTCTGAATATTCTGCTTGGTGTTTGATATCTAATTCATCCACCACTCTCCCAAGAAAACCAAAACTAGAATCAGACATCTGACACTCACTTCTAGCCATAGGACATTCATCAGAAAAATGTGTGACAGCCAATTGCATGTTTCTTAGCCAAACTACACATGTGTTTGCATAGCCACAATTTTATAAGAAGACACCTTGCTTTGCACATGTTGATGCAATGTCTAAGAAACAACTATGCAGCTTGGCTTCTCCAGCAGTTATTATATCATAAAAATGATGTGTGAATCAGATCTCAGCTATCCAGTGGAGAGAAAACAGAATTTGTATATAAAATGTTTATTAAGAGCTTAATATCTTCACAAGCAAAGCATCACATTGGTTTGCTAGTTATTCTAATTAACTATTCTTACTTTCTCTTTCTTTTAAAAGGGAGTCAATAATTTTGTGCAATACAAATTTAGTCACCTTCCATCAAAAGAGAGACAAACAATAGTAGAACTGGCTAAAATGTTTCTAAATCGCATCAACTATTGGCACCTGGAGACACCTTCTCAGCGAAGACAGAGGTCACCTAATGATGACATTGCTGGCTATAAAGTGAACTACACAAGGTAACAATAACCTGCTTCAGTATTTTACTTGCATCTTAGAGGATTATTAAACTTTCTGTAGTACCTTATCTGATCTCAAGATCTCTTAAGTTTTATAGTTGCAAGGACCGCATCCAGTATCCAATCTGAGGACCTTTGATGTTAAACTATCTTCTAAAATATGTGAACAGAATTGAAATGGCCTTTCGGCTTGTTTGCAAGACATGAAGTAAAAATGTAGGAGATTTATTAAGCACACTGCTATTTTAGATGGTACAATAATTTGTTCTGTGGTTGCTGTTAAGTGGGTTGTTAATGGGTTCTGACTCATTAACTGGTATGGGTCAGTTGACTGGGCTAACATATTAATCTTTTCTCCTGCAGATGGCTTTGCTACTGTAATGTCCCTCAATTTTGCGATAGTCTACCTCGGTATGAAACCACACAAGTTTTTGGGAGAACACTTCTGCGTTCAGTGTTTACCGTCATGAGACGTCAACTTCTGGAGCATGCTAGGCAGGAAAAAGACAAACTTCCTCCTGAGAAACGGACACTAATTCTCACACATTTCCCAAAGTAATTATTTTTTTCTTCATTTCTGGATTTTATAATTGACTTGAAATCTGTATGTCTCTTTTGATTAGTATCCGTGGTAGTATTCCAAAGTTAGGATTATGGATGAAGGGATTTTGGCAGTTGCAATGCAACACAGGACTGGCATTCCTTAGATCAAGGGTGTCAAACTCATTTTCACCAAGGGCAGCATCAGCCTTATGGTAGCCTTCAAAGGGCCAGTTGTAATTGTAAGACATATAAATGTAACTTTGTTTTTCTGGCATTGAAAGCCTCGCTGGCCACATAAAATGATGTGCTGGGCCAGACTTGGCCCGCAGGCCTTGAATTTGACACATATGTCTTAGCTCAACCATCCTCACATTAAGGAAGATTGAAAGTCTTTTCAAAAGACTTGTTAAATCATAAGTTCTTCAAACTTTGCTGGTGCATGGTAATGTTAGACTATGTTCTTGTAGGTTTTTTCGGGCTATAGGGCCATGTTCTAGAGGCTATGGTAAGCATCCTCAGAGGTAGTGAGGTCTGTTGGAAATAGGAAAATGGGTTTATATATCTGTGGAATGACTGGGGTGGGGCAAAGAGCTCTCTGCTGAAGCTAGGTGTGAATGTTTCAGCTGACCACCTTCATTAGCATTTGAAGGCTTGGCTGAGCCTGGGAAAATGTTCTGTTGAGAGGTGTTAAGATGTGCCTGGTTGTTAGACTATGTTGAAATAAGTGTATTCAGTTACTTAATAGAATGACACCAAGTGTGTAATTTGCTATATATAAATATTTTCTTTTGTTGCTTAAGACAATACATGATGTTGCTGCTATTGTTGTTGTCTTGTTCTTGTTATATCAAGTTATATCAAACATATGGTGACACCAAGACAAACCTTATACTGGTTTTATTTGGGGCTGAGAGTATGTGAGTCTCCCAAGGTCACCCAATGAGTTTCCAGGTCTGAGCAGGAAATTAAACTTTGATCACCAGAGCTGTAGTCCAACACTCAAACCACTACACCATGTTGGCTGCTATAATATTTAGGAATACACCCCATATTTTATTGGTTTATATGTTTACATGGTATATTTGATTTCTTGTACACTAGTGATTTTTAAGTTACTTACTGTTTCCCTTTTGTGAATGAACATAAAGTTACTGGCTTCTGCTTTTTGAAGCAGTTCATTCACATTTGTGTAATGCAGTATATTAAGCTGCTTGTGACTTTCTAGTTGCATGTCATATTTTGTAGGTTGGCAGTAAAGCCATGAAGATTTCAGTTTACATACAGTAACCATTGTGCAATATTAGATATAATATATTCATTATTACGTATATGCCAGACACATTAGTTGAAGGATATGTAATTCCTCCACCCACCCAGTACACGCACACACACACAAGCTGAATTAGCAAAGAAAAAAATGCTCAGCAGCAAGAGCTTACCATCAGAGGCATTGGTGAAATGGTGTGAACACACACTGAATTGAATACATACTTTCATCTTTCAGGCAACTTGTTGAGTAACAAAGGGTTGCATTAGACTATTCTGTCACAGTGCCAAATTCTAGTGGTAAGATTTTTTTCATTATAAATGCTACTCTGGCACTAATTATGGCAGCATTAAACAAGCCTTACTTATCTTCATCCTGGGAAGAAATGACTAGTAAGGTGCTGCAGGAATCTATCCTATTCCCAGTGCTGTTCAATATCTTTTTTAAAGACTTGGATGATGGTTATAGAGAGCATGCATATCAAGTCTGCAGATGACACTAAATTGGGAGAGATAGCTACCGGCAATTTTCCTATTGGATTCAGTGGAATTGCCATCCTACTGATGTTTACTCAGAAACCTGTCTGCTGTATTCAGTGGGATGTACTTTCCACTAAGTATGTACAGGATTCAAACTTACCTCATGTGAGATACATTCAGTTCAGTGGAGCTTACTCCCAGGTAAATGGTTCTCAGTCTTGTTGGAATTTTTTTCAGCTGCATTGGAGTTTTAGTCAAGAAACACAACTTCTTTGCCATGAGTTTTCTCTAAGAAGAAAGCTTATATAAGCTATCAGTGTGGGGGAATTTGGAATGAAAGCTCAAATAATATCAATGTTATTTATCTCTGCAAATAACAGTTTCTTTCTATAACTATTTCCTGTTACCAAAACATCTACTGAAACTGCCATTTAGAATTCTGAGTGGATTCTTATTTTTCAAAGTAAGGTTCTCAACAGACTACTAAAGAAGGAATTCAGCAGTCATATCATATCTGAGGGTATATGAGATTATTTTTCCTTGATGAGTTGTTTAGCTTGACAAAATATTTTACTATTTCTAAGAAAGCTTCATAGTTTGATTTCCCAAAGGTGATCTGTAATATGTGTATAAACATATGTCTTCAGAGTTTAGATAGATGTTTTGTAGCAGTAAAAGGAAATGCTGTATTGCCAGGGTCAGTAGTGAAGGCTTTCCAGTATCTGTTAACATCAGGGTTGTTTAGGGATTTGGTGGTTTTGTCTCTTTTTATGTTTAGGTTGCAAGCAATATTATGAGTATTTCTTGCAGAAAGAAAGCCTTTATTATTTATTTTGACTTACTATATCCTCCTCCCATTTCCAGTGAGGTTTACATAAACTTCTGAGTATGCCAACATTCTGTTTATTCACATATTGATTTTATATCTTGCTTTTCTGCCAAAACACCCCCGACAAAACAGCTAAGAACAGAAAGAGTCATGTAAAAAGAAATGTGGTTCAAATCCAAAATCAGTTTTATGTGTATTTCATGGTTAAGCAATAAAAAATAACTTTCCCATTAGGAGTTAAACACCCATATGAATATAAAGCTCTCTTTGCCTGGGAGGAAGACAACAGAAGGGAAGCCATCAGTGGCCACGAGTAACTACCAAAAATCCCTCATCCACAAAATGTGGCTGAGTTTGCTGTGGAATTAAGAGAAGAGATTTCCCCAGAGATCTTAGAATTTGAGAAGAATTTCAGAGAAGACAACGGTCTTTCTTCTGCAGTCACACTGACAACATTGGCTTTACAAACTTGTTTGCTTGGAAGTTGACTGAAATTTACTCTTTGTGGGTACAAAAGAGATCATAATCCCAGGGTGAGCTTTGTCTCAGAAAGTCTTTGTTTTTTTTTTACATATAATTACAGTCTAATGATTTTGGCCTGCCATTTTTACCTTGGAACACTCATTACTTTGGAGGTTTTCTATCATAACAGAGAACTTGTATAAATACTAGAAAATCTGCCATAACTAATGTCTAAACTTCTAAATTTGTTTATATAGTAGAGATACAAAAGATGTATCTCCATCTCTACTTTTTTTTGTAAAAAAAAGATGTTTGATGAGAAATACATTCTACTGGTAGAAATGTTTTATACACATTTAAGAAGTACATTTAAAAATACTGAATATGAAAGATGTCAAAGCTGTGTTTTGATTTATCTTAGTGCCAATGTATGTGCTTGGCACATAGAAAAGCCTAAATTCAGTCTTGAGTTGAAGGTAAAATAAAGCAGCCTGAAATAATGCTACTGCTTTAATGAAACATTTGGAGAATTGCTGTCAGTTAGTGCAGCCAGTAGTGAATTAGATAGGCCAGTAGTTTGATAAGATCTAAGCCAGGTTCCTTTTATCTCTATTTTTGCTCTCAATTGTTTTTGGATGTTATTGTTAAAAATGTACTACTAGCATTTTGCCAGTTTTCAGCTTGTCAAAGAGAATGTGCCTGAATTTGGTTTTGTTTTGATATGTGACTGAAGGAATCATATAATGGAGGAAGTCTTGTTTGTCTTGGTAGATGACGCTCTGTAGGTTAACACTGCTTGCTCACCTTGTGTGTTCAGGTTCCTATCCATGCTGGAGGAAGAGGTCTATAGTCAGAGTTCTCCCATCTGGGATCCAGATTTCATTGCATCTTCTTCTCGAAATGCACAGCTAGGCATCCAGGCAGGTAAATGTACATGTAAGGCATGACAGTGTGAAGACTAACGAAATATGATGTTCATTTCATAAGTGGCAGATGGAGGGGAAGTAGATAAGCTTTGGGTTATTTGGGAAGGGGATGAAGAGATGATTGTTTTTTTCCCTTCTGTGGTCTCACAGAAATCAGCTCCCCAAAGCCACTTCATTTTGGTGTTAATGAAAACATCCCTTGAATTCCAAAGAACAGCTTATGAGAGGCATTTTTTGTCACAAACTCCTTCCATTTCTGTACTGTGTTTAGCCTATTCCCTTAAGGGTTGCCAGGTTTTTTAAAAAAAAAACCAAAGCAAATAGGGATCTTGTACCTTTAATGATTGTATGAAAGAGAGAATTTCAGCTTATGTAACAAGGAACACCTGCCAGAATTCCCACTTTTGCTAAAGTTTTGTAGGAATAGGAGCCTTGACTTGTTTTCACTTGGCAATTCCACAGCTGTGATTCACATACCACAAAAATCTCCATGTTGATGACATTGGAACAAACAGCATATGAGGTTTGGTCCTAGGACAGTTTTGCGCCATAAAGACATACAATCTTCTTAGTGCAATTCATGTTGTTTACACAATCCTCTCCAGCTGTTATTTTCCTATGTTGTGATTATTTTGCTTTTTTAAAGGTGTTTTGGTCTACTACTGCTTGTTCAGTAACATTCAGAAGAATGCATAATTGGTTTTGTTTATACAGCTTTTGCATAGAAGCAAAAGGACAAATTCTAATGAATTTACAAAGTGTATCTGTCAGACGGACTACACAGGACTGAGTTCAAATAAACTGTCAACCATCTGGTAACATTAGTGGATAATGAAACTTAAAATGTAATACAGGATTTTCTCCTGAGAGCTCAAGATCATAGTACTTCTTCAGAAATCTTTCACAGATTATATGTTTGACCATTATTTTTCACTTGTCTCTAGCCTGCTAATTTTCATTTGGTCAAATAATTGGAGGAGTGCTCTGCAAAATAGCGGAGTTGCAGGTTTTGAGAGTGGGAAAGCTATAGCAATGCTCACTAAAAAGTTTCCTCTAGTCTTGTACCCTTCAGCTATATTGGACTACAACTTCCTTAAAAACTGTGGCCCAAAACAGGTAGATGTCACAAGGTTGTGAAATGTTGCACTAAAATGTAATTTTAATGACTAGCTGAATGATCTAAAATTGAGGAACAACAGTCCTCTGAGGCCACAGTGCAGTTTATCTGAGATATACATTCACATGCTACACCTTGAATACAGCATGGATTCCCTATGGGTCAGAGTCATTTGACTGCTGCCTCCAGTCAGATTAGATAGTCTTGAACTAAATGAATCATTTGGTGTGGCTTAAATGAATTTTTTTGGGGAGAGAGTCCATAGTAACATAAGCTTAATGCAGAGGATTTTCCAGTCCAGAAACTCAGATCATTTAATTCATAATCCCTGGAAGTATTTATATTTTTTCTAAGGTAATGCTGGACAAGGATGAGTTTAATCAGACTGTTGGTTAGGATGAAGATACCTTTTTTATGTTACACTTCATTGTAAGTTGTAAATTCTTGTGCTGAATCGGCACTGCAGCTTGCTCTCTGATAGTTGCATTTTTCTTTTCTTTCTGTGCATCTACAGTTATTAGCCATCCTCCTGTGGTGAGGTCCGCTGCATGCAATGCAAGCCCCTCATCTCTAGAACAAACCAGTGGGGGAAATATGAGTCCTGTTTGCAAGGCTATTTCTGGCCTGGACCAAAATCTAGGTAATGTAAAGACTAACGGATTTTTACTTTTTTCTGTGTGTATACTTTTGTCTGCAAAGTCTCAATCCCCAGCCAGTTTTTCTTGATCAAGGCTTTTTGAAGTGCACAGAAGATAGAAAAAGTAGAGCTAAGGATGGCTACTATGGAAGTATTGCTTTGTTATACTATGAAAAAAATTAAGTGGTTTGGATCCTACTGGTTTAGGTTCAGTTTACTTACAGGCTTGCATTCTTCTGCACAATCTGCCCTTTAGGACACTTAAGTCCTCTGTCGGATGATTACTCCAACCAGACAGAATCGGACTGGCAAATGTCAGTCAGAGGAACTTTTCATCAGCCACCCCAAGACTGTGGAATAACCTGACAGATGAACTCTGACAGCTAAATTAGCTATCGGAATTTAAAATGCAATTGAAGACCTATCTCTTCCAGCTGGTCTTCCCAGTCAACTTTCAATCATGAGTTTTATTTACATTCTACTGCTACAATATGTCAATTCTGTATCTGGATTAGGTGCACGTTTTTTATATTTTTGTGTTTTTATCTATATAATTGTATATATTTTATCTTTGTATGTTTTTGAATTTATTGTACCCCACCTCAAGCCATGAGGAAAGCAAAACATCACAGCAATAGAACATAATATAAAATAATAACAGCATTATATTAATCAAATAAAATTAAATATAACAAAGACATATAGCAGGTAATCAATAAACAAATATGATTTAAAAGCATTGTCATCAATAAGACATGCTCAACAACTACTACTGGGCGGGGCGGGGCGGACAATCCCTTTCAAACTAATAGTAATGTGCTCTGTAACATAACACCCCTTTGAAAAATACTTCTATTTAAAATTTTAGATCAGGTGAGTGAACTGTGCAGTTCCGGGAACACCCACTGATTCCACTAACGCCATCCTTTTCACTGAATAAATGTGTTTTCCAGCCATATAAAGTTCCCCTCCTTTTTAGAAAACTTGCAAATGCCTTGAAATGCAGTTTCAAGGATTATACTGAAGCAGCATGACTCCCTCTTGAAGGGTTCCAGACATCATTTCCATGTGCCCAGAGCAGTGAATCTGATGGTATGGCACCATCAGAGATCTGGAAGAGATTAATGAATACTGTACAGCCATCTAACCTCTGAATTGTACTGTCTAGTGTAGGCTGTCTTGGATGGTTGCATTCCATCTCACATCTAAGTTGTTAGGCTATTATGTTTGCAGGAAATCACAAGAACCAGTAGTGATGGAAACCAGTCAGGATAAATAAGTCTGGGCTGTAGTGGCTGGGAGTTCATTAGACTGGTAGAAATAGTTTTTTTTAAGACCATGAAGGTGGAAAGAGAGAAGCACATTTCCTTTCGTCAGCTGTGAGCAAATGTTTCTTGTGTTTCAAATAAGCATTGAACCAAAGCAAACATCTCAAGTACACAAGAACACAAATCTATTTTTCTCTTACCCTCAAATGCAAAATCATCTAAAGGCAGAATAGAAGCCAAGATTCATGACTCTTCCTTTTTTTCTTGCCCAACTTCTGTTCGTGTCCAATTGCCAAAACCTAAGCCACTATATAAAGTTGTCAAAGCTTTTCCCTCCCTCCCGGTTAGGATATTTGATTATACAGTCATTATCACTTGCAGCAATTAATGAGGCAACTCAAAATATGGTTATTTTTAGTTATCCTGGGCCTGAAGTGCCAAGCTGTTTCCCTGCTGCTTTTAATGCCATGGTTTCAAAATGTTCTACAGTGAAAGCTTAACTGCCAGAACAGTTGATTCATGTGTCGGAAGACAGGAATTGCTCTTATTGGTTCTTAATACGGTCTTACTATTATAACATTTTTCCATACTGAAACACACAGCTGGGGGAAAAGAAGAAGCATTTTCAGTGGAAAAGTAAAATCGTAGGATAGAGTTAAGGATGGAACTCTTCCTTTGTTCACATAAATCTTCCACCTTAGTAGATGGTCCATATGGCACCCTCACCCCACAGTCTGAGTTGATAATTGTAGACCTTCTAGTTTGGATTCTTTTAAAGATATCACAGAGAAGAAAGGTTGGTTTTAGAGAAATTGTTAAGGATCCAATCCCCTATTTTGGTATCTCATGCCAGTAGATTTGTAACTTTTACCCCTCTCCCTCCAATACAGACCTCCTTGGTGCTAAAAGTCTGCTCCAGAGAATCATAGAATCAATGAGTTGGAAGAGAGTTTTCCAGTAATTCAGCAGGAGGTGGAGGGGAGGAAGGAGGGGCAAGATGGTTGGTTTTGGCAGAGGCAGTAGGCTATAGTACACTATTGGATCTTGGCCATTAAGAAGCTGATTTTGTTAAATGACAACAAATAGAAGTGCCCACATTGGTGATACAAATTAGCTGAGTAGTTTTGAGCCTGTTGTGATTAGCTGTTGTCCATGCTGGTGTGTATCAACTGCTTTGTGAATGATCACTGTGATTATTTGATATATGTAGAACTATACATAATTATAACTGCCTGTATTATTATTTTTTATATTTAATTCACTTCTGAGCCAACATCTAAATTTCCCCTGCTTCTTTTTTGCATTTATGCATGAAAATAATTGCCAACTCAAGATAATGTTGAATGCATGGGTTGAAACAATGCTTGGTCTGTAAGTGACTAAATTTGTCAGTTGTCAAGGTGTCCCAAGATAATTTGTTGCCATTTGTATATGTTAGTTTGGCTGTTCAAGTTACGTTATACAGGGTTAGTCAAAATGAATAGGCCAATAAGAAAATTAATTTTAGACGAATGTATGTTTACTGTAACCAAACCACAGCTACGTAGCGACAGATAAACTATCAAAGTTTTTTTTGAGCAACACACATGTACGTTAATGCCGCTAGGCGTCGCTAGGGGTCGCTGTTTTCAAAATGGCGGAATCAAGCAAAGAGAAGGCGTTTTGTGTGATGACATTTGCTAAAACAATGTCAGTAATTACGGTCCAGCGAGAATTTCAAGGGTTAGGTTTAGGGTTAGGGTTAGGGATAGGGTTAGGGTTAGGGTTAGGGATAGGGTTAGGGTTAGGGTTAGGGTTAGGGTTAGGGTTAGGGTTAGGGTTAGGGTTAGGGATAGGGATAGGGTTAGGGTTGGACCTCAACGAACACCTTCCCAGACGTTGCTGCATTCGATGCCATTACGTCGGATGTGCTGCAACGGATGTGGAATGAACTGGACTATCGCTTGGACATCTGCCGTGTCACACGGGGCGCCCATATCGAACATCTCTGAAGGTGAGACAAAACTTTGATAGTTTATCTGTCACTACGTAGCTGTAGTTTGGTTACAATAAACATACATTCGTCTAAAATTAATTTTCTTATTGGCCTATTCATTTTGACTAACCCTGTATAACAAATAGAGTATTTCTCTATTATGAATTAAGCAGAATTATCACACATGATAACTTTCCTTCTCACTCTCTATTCTCACAGTTTGGGTTTTATTGAAGAAGTCTTACAGAATACTTTAGATCAATAATATTAAAGCATTTATACATGATGACAGAGAAGTTCTGGAATGTTATACTTTCCAGTCAGAACTGATTTCTTTCTCATTTGTTTAACTGGTGGGGTTCTGTATTTACATGTGAGTAAAAGTGTCTCCTTGGATTTTTGAGACATAGCAATGAGACAACCTCAGTCCTCATGTTCATCCTCAGTAGACTCATACAGTCTACTTCAGGGGTCCTCAAACTTTTTAAACAGAGGGCCAGGTCACAGTCCCTCAAACTGTTGGAGGGCCGGATTATAATTTGAAAAAAAAAATGAATGAATTCCTATGCACATGGCACATATCTTATTTGTAGTGCAAAAACCACTTAAAAACAATACAATAATTAAAATGAAGAACAATTTTAACAAATATAAATTTATTAGTATTTCAATGGGAAGTGTGGGCCTGCTTTTGGCTAATGAGATAGGATTATTGTTGTTGTTGTGTGCTTTTGAGTTGTTACAGATTTAGGTTGACCCTGTGTGATGGCCGGGTAAATGACCTTGGAGGGCCGCATCCGGCCCCCGGGCCTTAGTTTGAGGACCCCTGGTCTACTTGATTTGCCTATGTGTTACTCACTTTTCAGTTTATTAATTGGTTTTATTCAAGTTGCGACAAACTAAATAATATATTGGTGATTGCACATGTCATCTAGATTTCATGACTATATGTCTTTTTTTTTTAAAAAAAGTTAAATAGATGGGTGGGAAGGAAGCATGGGGTGAATTTATCAGTTACATTTAGCTTGTGATAATAAGAAACATTGGTAACAACATGCCTGATCTACTGACTTAATAAGGCCATGTGTGTATCTTATCAGTACAGCATTAGACAGGTTTACAGAGCCCTATCTGATATAGCTAAGGTGGGGGATAGTGGGGAATGCAGTACAGCAATACCTGAAGTGCCACATGACTCCCATCCCTCCTTTAGTTTTTTATGCCTTCTATTTTATGGTTTATGCAGATGTGATGCTCTTCTAAGAGTCCATCTTTTGCATTATGTTGATGTTGAAACAATGTTTTCCTACTTTAGGCTCATGCACTTACAGCAGACATGGGCAAACTTTGGCCTTCCAGGTCTTCTGGATTTCAACTCCCATAATTTCTAACAGCTGGTAGGTTTTTAGGAATTGTGGTAGTTGAAGTCCAAAACACTTGGAGGGCCGTAGTTTGACCATGCCTGACTTTTACACCATGAACACTGATTTAAATAACTAGGTCACATTGTAAGAGAAGGCTCAGTCTTCATGGTCTTTGAATGAATGTTAATATTTTAAAATATTTAATGTTATAACGTTATAAATTGTTTAATTGTTTTTAAAATACTAATCATATTTATATTGTATTAATGACTTTGTATACTTTTAAATCTGTATTGTTTTTAAATACGTTGGGTGTCTTGAGTCCCATTATTGGGAGAAAGGCAGTATTTCCATTAGCTGTACTTGACATTGTTACCCATCTTCTATGAACATGATGGAGACAAATAATGTATTCAGGGCTGATTTGTACTGAAACAATAGGCTCAACTGACTCTTTAACTATGACTGCTGCCACCCGTTTGCACCCGCATCAGAAAAAGCAGACATTATTTGCATGCATAGTGTTATTATATTGCTCAATAAAGGGGAGTGTTCTCATAGTACATGTAGCATAATTTGACATTTTCCATTTCAGTAATGTTGACTCTGTACCTTGTAAAACAATTTATATACTAGCAGTGGTGACATCTTTAATTTTTAAACAATTATTTCAATTTCTTTTTTAATTTCACAGGAGAGAAGAGAAAAATTAATGAGCCTTATTCTGTAGAGGATGCCAAGAAGCCAAGAGTGGTAGGAGATATTCCTATTGAGCTTATTAATGAAGTGATGTCAACCATTACAGATCCAGCTGCAATGCTGGGGCCAGAGGTAAGAAGTGTAACTTTGGTATGAGCATTTATGTCAAGTTTGAATACAGCAATTAACTTTATTAGTTTGTTTTTATCAAGTTTACTTTGTTTTATGAAAGATCTCCATTAAGACAGGAAAAGACCCAGCATAGGTTAGTGAAATCTAAGATCCATCTCAAATGAACCTGAGAACAGTAGTAGATATTGAAAATATTATGTTATTATACTACAACTCCCAGAATGCTCCAACAAATATGGCCAATGACCATGCTAGTTGGGGGAGTCTTAGACCAGATTTTTGAAAGGCAGTTTTTCCAGTATAACAGGAACAATGCAAGAGAGAAGAAAAGGAGAGGAAGAATTTCTGGTTTTGGCCTAAAGCCTGAAAGCCATTAGTTGCCAGCTACATCTCAGACAATATACATTTTCCATTGGAAACATGGAGAAATCTATGATTGTTTGCAGATTCTTAGAAAAAAACTGAACAGAAGTTCTCATCCATCCTATATTGATATCGGGTTTCCCATTTGTGGTTTTGATTGCTTGTGAGCTTGTACCCCCATTTCCTGAAGTTTCTGTTTCAAGAAGTACCTCCTTCATTTGCCCAGGCAAAACAGACACTTGCAGCAGGAAGAGGATAGGAGCTGGCCCCGCATGCCATTTCACTTCCTCTGTGGATGTGGCTCATTTTCTCTTTCCTGTGTGTTGCAAATATTTGTTCATCTGGGTTGAAGAAGGGAGGTACTGCAGGGAATAGAAATATATGGCACACAGGAAGAGGAAGAGCAAGCCGATTCACCACTGGGGGGCTGGTTTCTCCTCTTCTTCCTATTTGTCATGTATTCTGCCAGGTATCTCCTTTTCTTTGCCTGGGTGAAACAGAAAAGGAACTAGGATGCACAGAGTAAATTAAATGGCATGTGAGTCTGGCTTCTCCTCCCCTTCCCCCAGGACCATGTTGCATTCTAGTTTTTAGCCATTCCTTCAGGCAACCTGACTTCTCCGTTTTGTTCAGGAACGGCAAGGGTCCAGCCATTAGGAATTCCCATCTGAAAAGGGACCATGTGGCAGTTCTCCCTTATTCAGTATCACAGTTGAATCTTTTTTTATTTTCCTGATTCTTTTTATTTAGTGGGACTGGGAGTTGAGGACCTGAGGGACGGTGGGTGTGGTGTGTGCGCGTGTGTTTTTGGGGGCTTGGAGAGTCATCCTTTTAGCTTCTTTTTCTCTTTCCCTTCCTCTCCTTCAGAAAATACTTCTAAAAGATAATAATTAAATAGTAGTAGTAGTAGTAGTAGTAGTAATACCACCTAGTTACCTCTTCTCTGGAGTAGAAAATAAAAACAGCTTTAAGGAAGCATTAAACTGAAGCAGAAAGGAGATTGCAGGCAGCAGAGAAAACAGAGGAGTATTTAAGGTAGTCCATGGAGTATACAAATAGCTTACTGAGTTCCAGGACATCATCGCTCTTACTTTCCTGGGCTTCTTTAAAAATGCCTTGGAAAACTGTGTGGCCTGTTGCTGGTGCCGTGAGAGAAAGTGTGTGTACCTGCCTCTCCTCTAGAGTAGAAACAGCTTTAAGAAGCATTAAACCCATTTTTCTCTACAAACAGAAGGGAAAGGATCCAGAAAGAGTGATATCTTAACTCTAATGCTTTTTTAAATCCATGTCTTAATGCAGGATATGGAAGGGGAGCCTCTGGGAACCCCCTCCCCCCCCCAATAATGGGCTGGATAGGGTACTTTCTTAACCCCATTGCTGACACTAAGGCTCCCTTGAAGGGAACAAAGGAAAGGCTCCCAGGGGAAAGGGAAGCCTCATAAGTTCCCCATTGCCGCCAATGGACCAAAAAGAGCCACTTCTTTTGGATGCGGAACTAAAATGCCCTAAAATGCGGTTTGCCTGTTTTCAGGAGGCACACAGAAACGGATATGGGGGGCTTCCAGTATCCAGCAAATAGAAATGGATAGTGATTCACGCATACTATACAAGCCTAGTGAATACCCTTTCTGGGGACTACAGAGGCAGCATCCCCCCCTCCCCCCAGATATTTGCAATTTTCCACTTTTCCAGGGGAGCTGTGATTGTACACTATGGGACTTTTCATGCTACATAATACCTACAATTCCACAATGTCCTGTGGAGTCCTGGAATTTCCAGTTTACAGAAGGGTGTTCAGAATTCTCAGCCACAGCCCTCTAGTATTTCACTGAACCAGAAGATTGCTTAATATGTAGCCATGGTTGATAATGTGGAATCATAGTGCTATAACTATGAGAGATGTGTTCAGATGGGATGGAATTCCAAGTGTGTATGTGAAAACAAAGTAAAGACTTCCAAATGTATACTGAATGTATGTTAATTCTTTTCCATAATGAAGCAGACCAACTTTCTATCAGCACATTCAGCTCGGGATGAGGCAGCGAGACTGGAAGAGCGAAGGGGAGTGATTGAATTTCATGTCGTTGGAAATTCCCTAAATCAGAAGCCAAATAAGAAAATTATGATGTGGTTGGTTGGCTTACAGAATGTATTTTCACATCAGTTACCCAGAATGCCAAAAGAATATATAACTCGTCTGGTCTTTGATCCGTGAGTATCTCCCCTCTACCCACCTGTGGTAACAAAGAAAAAGAAAGATGATACTTTTTAATTACATGAACTAGCTTCCAGAAACTGAAAGCAATATTTCAAACCATGCTTGAGTTATAAATTACATATTCAGAGAGGAATGGACACACTCCACTTTTAGAGCGTTGTTTTAAGTTCCTGTTGTTGTTTATTCTTTCATTTGCTTCCGACTCTTTGTGACCTCATGGTCCAGCCCATGCCAGAGCTCCCTGTCAGCCGTGGCCACCCCCATCTCCTTCAAAGTCAAGCCAGTCACTACAAGGATACCATCCGTCCACCTTGCCCTTGGTCTGCTCCTCTTCCTTTTTCCTTCCATTTTCCCCAGCATCATTGTCTTCTCCAAACTTTCCTGTCTTCTCAATATGTGTCCAAAGTACTTCATCTTTGCCTCTAATATCCTTCCCTCAAGTGAGCCGTCGAGCATTATTTCCTGGAGTATGGATTGGTTTGATCTTCTTGCGATCCAAGGCACTCTCAGAATTTTCCTCCAGCACCACACTTAAAAAGCATCTATCTTCCTTCGCTCAGTCTTCCTTATGGTCCAGCTCTCACATCCATAGGGTTGCTATGGGGAATACCATTGTTTTAACTATGCAGATCTTCATTGCCAGTATGATGTCTCTACTCTTCACTACTTAAGTTCCTAAGTTCATTTTAATTTATGATGGAATGGAATGCTTAGAAAATAGGCAAAGGAGAATTGGTGTACCAACTATTTGCTACCGACTCCAATAAATGACTTCACAAGGACTGTGGCAAAGCTTGGCTGAACAGAACTGTAAAATTAAGCATTGGTGTTTGCATGGTTTGATTCTATTCTAGATAATACAGGACTGGAGATTTCTATAGCCCCTCAAACCATCTCAAAACCCTGCATTCCCCAATTATTAAAAAAATCTGCTGGTTTTTCTTCCAGAATATGATCAGAATGCCCCAAATGGCCCCAGGGGTTTTTGTTTGTTTTAACCCCTGGCCCCCAAAGACACCAATGGCTAGAACTCAGCCTGAAATGAGATCGGCTTGTTGAAAATACAGCAATGGTGTGTGCCAGGCAAAATTTATTATATTTTAGATAAGTGAAGTCATGTTGATGTTTCATTGATGAAAGGTCCCTGTCAGTGGAATAGAGAAAAGCTTTATAAAAATGATTCATGTGTGCCCCTCCCACTTTCCCGGGAATCTTCTACTTTGGAGGTTTGGGGCCCTTTCAGAACAACACTGAAACAAAAACAAAGCAAATAAGTTTTTTTCCTCAGGATTTATACATTTTCACAATTTGTACAGTTATGACAATTTACTAAGTTTTTATTTATTTTTCTCTGGAATAAGATTGTTCTTTGCTTATATGAAATGCCGAAGCATGGCTTTATGCTGGAAATTTACTCAATAACTAAGAGAAGTACTAACTTTCTATGTGTTGCAAATGTCTTTAGTCCCATTAAATTGTCTTTCTCTTTTCTCTCTTTTCTCCCCCTCCTCTTTTCTTTTTCACTGGTCTTTTCTCTATTAGTCTTTCCTTCAAGGCAGTCTTCTTTGCCTCCTGCTGAGAATTATTTTTCTCTCTTTCTCAGGAATATTTGAATTTTGGGGTTTGGGGCTATAAAACTGCCTGGAGCTTTATGGAAAACCTTTTATGTCTACTACCAGCTTTGTCTTCTCTGTTTAGTGAAAGTCTGACATCCAGTAGCTCAAGACGGTATTTCAGGATACAGATTTCAATTAATAAAAAATGAATTAAACAGTTTTAAGAACAAAACAACTCTTGAGATGCATGCTTTCAGGCTCCACTTAGTAATTGTGACAAATTCCATCTGCATCATTTTAATGATGCTGGAGCTATGGTAGAGGCATAAACAGATCAGACGCACACCTTTTTTATTAATATAGGAGATATTTCTGTTTTGAATAAATTAATAGTTCTTCATCATAATCTAGAAAGTAATTTACTATGTGATTGAAATGCTAATTTGAAAGGGTACTTGGGAAATACATTCAGAGAACCCTGTGTTTATAATTTTCTGAGAATCTTCTCACTTCTCATCTCTGATTAATGATGTTTCTAAATTCATGTATTTTTTTCCATAAAGAACATAAGACATTAGCACCAGATATGCACATACATGTGTTTATGATTTATTGATGCTGTTATTTTAATGATAGCTCTGATGTACGTAGTGCATATAGCTTAATGGTGAAACAGAATTGACCTACATAATTCCTGCCTATAACTGCAGGAAACACAAGACCCTTGCATTAATAAAAGATGGACGAGTGATTGGCGGTATTTGTTTCCGGATGTTCATGTCTCAAGGATTTACAGAAATCGTTTTCTGTGCTGTGACTTCCAATGAGCAAGTTAAGGTAAAGACAAGGCATGATATGAATTCATTGCAAAATCTGCAGGCATAATTGGATTCAGCAGGGCCAGATCTCACATGATAAAGACAGCCTTTTACCTGGGTTTGATTTGGTCTGTGTTTCACAGACATATGTTCACTGCTGAACTTTTACGTGCTTTGGTCCAGGAATTATTTTTGGCTTTTGCAGCTTTGTGGTAAAATAAAAGATAATCAGAGAAAAGCTGCTGCTGGTTAAGATGGGCATTTGTTGCATTTTGTCTCAATCACCATGACATTCTCTTTGGAAACCTGGTTTTCCAAAGGAGCAGAAACTCTGCATACATATGTGCCTAAAAGGCATAAAGCAAATCGCATGGAAGGAATTGGGTTTTCTTTGTCAGTTACTGGCTAATAACGCAACTGTGGAAATCTTTATTCTATATCCAGCTTAGGCTCTCTGCAGATTATAGCGGAACAACAGGAGGGGGGAGAGGAGTCTGTCAGGAAGGAAATGAATACACTATTGGAATTATTTTTGTCTTTGCTCATTTTAAACTGTGGTATACCTTAAGTCCATAAATCCTTTAAATAGGACATTTATTGTGGTGATTGGGGGGGGGGGGCTTTTATAGTAATGTGAGTCTAAAAGCTGGAACATTCCTCACTGAAGTCTCCCTTCAGCCGTGAAATCACTAAGCAGCCTCAGGCAAATCACTGCTCTCCTAGCCTCAACTTCCTTCTGTAATACAGTGATGCTAATGCTGTTTCTTTTACCAAGATGGTGACATGATTACTGAAATAATAGATATGATGTACTTTGAATGCTCTGGAAGGGGCACTATATTAAGTCTGGGGATTCAGAGTCTTCTGTATTTATTTATTTATTTATTTACTTTGCTTATATACCGCTGTATCTCAAGCCCGAAGGCGACTCACAGCGGTTCACAAACAGTAGAAACAGTAGAAACAGCAGTGGTTCCATACAACATATAACAATTGACTTAACACATTATCCATAAATTACCAATAAGCAATTACAATACACAATTATTACAAAAAACAACCGTACCCAATCTTCTCATCATCCAAGCGTAGTCCAGATTCGTCGTCCATTGTTCCATTCCTATGTTCCATTACCAGATTGCACTAAATTACTCAAACGCCTGCACAAACATCCAGGTCTTCACCTTTTTGCGGAATACCATTAGAGATGGTGCTAGTCTAATGTCCGTAGGAAGGGCGTTCCACAGCCGAGGAGACCACCACCGAGAAGGCCCTATCTCTCGTCCCCGCCAGCCGAGCTTGAGAAGCAGGCGGGATCGAGAGCAGGGTCTCCCCGGAAGATCTCAAACTCCTGGTGGGTTCATAGGCAGAGATGCGGTCAGATAGGTAGCTTGGGCCGGAACCGTTTAGGGCTTTAAAGGCCAACGCCAGCACTTTGAATTCAGCCCGGTAGCAGACCGGTAGCCAGTGGAGTTGGCGCAACAGGGGGGTTGTATGCTCCCTGCGCTCCGCTCCTGTTAAAATCATGGCTGCCGAGCGTTGGACTAGTTGGAGCTTCCGAGCTGTCTTCAAAGGCAACCCCACGTAGAGAGCGTTGCAGTAGTCTATACGGGATGTAACCAGAGCGTGGACTACCGTGGCCAAGTCAGACTTCCCAAGGGCGCAGCTGGCGCACAAGTTTTAACTGTGCAAATGCTCCCCTGGTCACCGCCGAAACCTGGGGTTCCAGGCTCAGCGATGAGTCCAGGGTCACACCCAAGCTGCGAACCTGCGTCTTCAGGGGGAGTGCGGCCCCATCCAACACAGGCTGTAACCCGATGCCCTGTTCGGCCTTGCGACTGACCAGGAGTACCTCTGTCTTGTCTGGATTCAATTTCAATTTGTTCCTCATCCAGACCGTCACAGCGGCCAAGCACTGGTTCAGGACCTGGACAGCCTCCTTAGTAGCAGGTGGAAAGGAGTGACAGAGTTGGACATCATCTGCGTACAGATGACACCGTACCCCGAAACTCCGGATGATCTCCCCCAGCGGCTTCATGTAGATGTTAAACAACATGGGAGACAATATTGAGCCCTGAGGAACCCCACAAGACAATGGTTGTGGGGTTGAACAGGTGTCCCCCAACAACACCTTCTGAGATCGACCCTCCAGGAATGACCGGAGCCACTGCAAAACAGTACCTCCCAAGACCCATCCCTGCGAGGCGTCCCAGAAGGATACCGTGGTCGACGGTATCGAAGGCCGCTGAGAGGGCAAGCAGCACCAACAGGGACACACTCCCCCTGTCGAGCTCCCGGCGCAGATCATCCACTAAGGCGACCAAGGCTGTCTCGGTACCATGTCCCGGCCTAAAGCCAGACTGTGCCGGGTCTAGATAATCCGTGTCTACCAAGAATACCTGGAGTTGTGAGGCCACCACACGTTCCAAGACTTTGCCCAAGAAGGGGAGATTGGAAACTGGCCGATAGTTGTCGAATTTAGTGGGGTCCAGTGATGGTTTCTTCAACAGCGGTTTTATTATAGCTTGTTTTAAGCTCGCTGGAATCTTGCCTTCCCGAAGGGAAGGCATTAACCACCACCTTTACCCACTCAGCCAATCCCCCTCTGGCCTCCTTTAGAAGCCAGGATGGGCAGGGGTCTAGGATGCATGTGGTCACTCTCATTCCTCCAAGGATCTTGTCCACATCCTTGGGTTTCACCAATTGAAATGAATCCATCAAAACTGGACAAGCAGGTGCTCGTGTTACATCCTCAGAGACTGCCATTAACATGGTATCCAGAACAGAACGGATCAAAGCGACTTTGTCTGCAAAGAACTGAGCAAAAGCTTCACAGCGAGAAGTCGAATCGTATGCACACAGAGTTTTTATAGCCTTACCTGTGCTGGCTCTTAAGCCTTCCCCTGCTTTATAGGATAGGCAGGATACAGAATGGCATGTCCAATTGAAAGGAGAAATTATTCTTCCAGAGTAGACATTTTCCACTATAATAATATTGTTCTTGGGACTCAACCTGTTTCTTTGATTAATGTTATTTTCCCCCTAGATTCTTAAAAAAAAAGTTTTGTAGTTTTATTGCATTGCATTCCTCATGAGATAAATTGTCCTAATGATTTCTGCACAGGGTTATGGAACTCACTTAATGAATCATCTGAAAGAATATCATATTAAGCATAACATTCTCAACTTTCTTACGTATGCGGATGAATATGCAATTGGCTATTTCAAGAAACAAGTAAGTGTTTTTTTGAAACTGTTTTAAGTCTGGTTGCTGTGTGCCTTCAAGTCATTTCCAACCTATGGTGACCCTAAGGTGAACATATCGTAGTTTTTCCGGCAGATTTGGTCAGACGAGGTTTACTGTTGTCTTCCTCCAAGCCTGAGAGAGAGTGATTTGCCCAAGGTCTCCCAGTGGGTTTTATGGCCGAGCAAGAGTATAAACTATGGTCGTTTCCTGTAAGGAACTCAAATAATAGTTTGTAGGTAGTGGGGTAAGGGAAAACAGCAATATATCCCTTCACTCAGAAAAATATTCTTTCTCATTGCATGCTGTGCTATAGTTGTCAGTGCAGTTATCATGTGACTTCTCTATACCGCATGTTTTCCCACCAGCCCCACTTCCAATAGGACATCCAGTATTTGTGAGGACACACTGCATTTAGTAAGTAGTAGTCTATGTAGCTGTTTTTAGCCTTTAAGGCATTTCTGACTTATGGTTACCCTAAGGTGAATCTGTCATGGGCCTTTTTTGGTATCATTAATATTATGTAGTAATACAAAGGAAAGTTCCAAAAATATTTTAAATATGCATTGCAATCCTATTCATATCTCTTTTAGAGTTCATTGATAATTCTTTCTTGCGAAGTGTATCACAACCTTAGAGAATACTGCTAACAGATATAAACCCACCAAAAATCATTGGGTTTATTTTAAATTACGTGTATTGATGCCCCTCAATATTGCCCCCAGACATATGATAACCTGTGACTTATTGAAAAGACACTTGGTTGAAAAAAATGTGGTAAAATCCTTCTCCATTCTCTCTAAAAGGAATGATTACATAGCCCAGTTCTTCAAAGCTGAAAGTGGTACTTTCAAATACATGTTATTTTCTAGGAGATAAGATTCTATTTCAGTTTCCATGGGAGCAGCCTTCTAAGTCTAAAATGGGAGAACTTTGTGGCACTTTAAAGGCACAAGATACATTTTGTTTGGCCCGTGTTTTTGTGGACTGCGCCCCATTAGCATAAGATGAAATGGGCTGTAGTCCAGCGACACTTATGCCGAATGATGCTTGTTGGTCTTTAATGTGCTGCTAGTTTCTTTATTAGCTTTGATTCTGTTTCAAGAGAGCTGTGCTGCTGTCCTGCTTTAGGGTGCTCAATCTATCCAACATACCTTACTTGTAAGTCTTATCTAGCAGCAGAAGTTCTCCTTTAAGTTCAGTGGACTGTTTTCCTAAACTTCTGTCATAGGGGTATTGCTCTTGTTTGTTTTGGCTTTGATGTCTTATTGGGTCTTGTAAAGCATTGGCAGAATCCTGTATGACCATTCCATACTAAGAATCTTAATAACGATAGTGTTGTGTAGCGGATCTTAGGCAGAGACCCCTGCCCCAAATCCCATGTATCAGTAAGCAAATGCTGGAATCAAAAGGGGGACAATTCCCCTATTGATTTCCATCCCATCCTGTGGAGTAATCTTCAGTGTGATAAGAACCTGTCACAAACTTGCCCCTCGAATAGGCAAAAGGGAGTATGAACATCAGGCAGCCATTTCTTGATCAGCAGGGGAGCCTACTCCCATCAATTTCAGAGACGTTTTACTGGTAGATGGGATTTAGGAGGGGCTATATAGGGATTGTGAATAAGGAGCAGTTATGAATATATAACTGTAGGTTACATATTTGAAACTGCTTAATAGAATTCCAGCCCATATTTTTAAAGTCCCATATAAAATACATGATGACTCCGAGAAAGATGCAGATGTAAGCTGCTCCCAGAGGAAACATTACAGTATCTTATTTCAATTCAGAAGTACATCAATTGGCAAACTAGGCATTGATGTGTGCTAGTTTGGCTGCAAAATTTCTGCCTCCAAGCATGTGAGGAAAAATTCACTGATGTATCCCCAAATAGTCACAGTGGCTTCAGAAGGCTGTTGGAAAACACACAATCAAGGTATATTGACTTTTCTTTTCTCAGGGTTTTTCTAAAGATATTAAAGTACCAAAAGCAAAGTACGTTGGCTATATCAAGGATTATGAAGGAGCAACTTTAATGGGATGTGAATTAAATCCAAGGATTCCATACACTGAATTTTCAGTCATTATTAAGAAGCAGAAAGAGGTAATTGTATGTACTAATCCAAAATTTATTCAAAATACCCAAAGATTTAGTGCCTACAAATACTTTTGAAAAATAAGACCTTTTTTTTGCAGGTACACAATATCAATGTATAAAAGGATATTTACCATGTAGCTGTGAAGGGGGCATGAGCCATTTCCCCCTTTATATACCTGCCTCATGGGCTGGATGGCCTCTCTTGACATGAACAGAAATGACAGTGTCACATTCAGTTTTGTGTATTACCCAAAGTATGGGCAGTGCTTGCGGTCTGGGAACTTGGCAAAGGACAAAGGGGCTTAAACCTCCTCAATTTTTTGTTGCAGATTGAATGTTTTAAATACGTTTTTGAATCATTAATCTTAAATTTTTCAAGGAATTTGTTTTAATGTGCTGGAGGACTTTGAGGGTTTCCAGGGACTGCAGAACAGGCCCCCAGGAGCATGTGGCCTGCAGGCCGCAGTGTCCCCCACACCTGCTTTTATTGATAAGTAAATCTGATATGATTTCTTCTAAAGTAGTTTCCATTAGTCTTGTTGCTGTAGTGGACACAAACATCTAAAAAGGACAGAATATATTTTCAGAACGCAGAAATCTGATGATTCTTCTACTACTGTTTGCACTGTTATTGACTATGAATATTATTGAATATCCAAATACACAGAAATTAAATATGCAAATGTGTAGGATTATAGCCTTCAAAACCAAATCCAGCAGTATCATGTACTGGGGAATATGTGGCACTCCAGATTCCTACTGGACTGAAACTCTTGTCATCCCTCACTATTGGCCAGACTAATGGGAGCTGTAGTCCAATAATATCTGGGGGGTGGCATCCTTTCCCACCCCCAATATAGAAGTGGCTCAAATATCTTAACAGAAGAGGCAACTCGTGCCTGTGGATCAGGCCATGCACAATGCTTCCACTAAGGAGAAAAGTAAATTAAAAGCATACTTTTATACATGGGTTACTTAGAAGTACCATTCCGTTCAGTTGAGATCATTCCCAGGTATATGGAGATAGGAGTATGTTGTAAACATTCTAATTTTTATGCCACTTCTTACAGATTATTAAAAAGTTGATTGAAAGAAAGCAAGCTCAGATTCGGAAGGTTTACCCTGGTCTTTCTTGCTTCAAAGATGGAGTACGTCAGATTCCTATAGAAACAATTCCTGGAATCAGTATGTATCGATTCTGTCATTTATCTTTGAGTTTGATTTCATGCAGTGTTTTTTTTAAGTGTTTTTATTGTAATGGTTTAATGTTGTTGGATTCTTTTCTGTTTAAGGAATATGGTACTAGATTCTTCATAATTTTTATCCTGAATAAAAATGTAGAAAGTAATTCAAAACACTTTACATTCTTTAGTCACAGGCAACTTTTCTGACTTTCTTTGTAAGCAATATTTACTTTTGATGCATGTTTTGTGCTCTGCTATTGATTTTTCAGTGCCATCCATTGCATTCAAAAGCAAATTCAATGTATCACAGTAAATGTATATAAGACTCCCCCCCTTTTTTTTTTTACATGATTGCACCTCTTTCCACCAATGAGGTTTCAATCTGCTCAGTTGAATATGTTCATTTGTCTTTGATAGCAGCCCATGCCAATCCCACAATCCACATTTGGAAATATTCATCACTTTTAATAGTTGGTGGGTGTTGGTGGGAGGTGGAGTATTCCTCCAAACACTTAACCAAACCTGAATCTATAAAACTACATAAGTTTTTAAGTCAGCTTTGCCCAACTCAATGCCCTTCAAATGTGTTGTTGTTGTTATTTGTTTACCCCCCACTTTTTCTCTCCACAAGGAAACTTAAAGTGGACTACAGTGCTGGACACTATAGCTCCCATAAACCCACAGATACAGGATGAAACTGAGGCTGGATCTACACTGCCATGATATAGTTTGAAAGTGAAATATGTGATCATTGTCGACCCATGTAATGCAATTTAACTGCCTTGAACTGCATTATATGGGTCTACACTGATATAATGCCCTCCCACATAAGGCAGTTTGAGAGGACATTATATGGTCAGTGTAGACCCAGCCGGGATCACCTTTAAAAAGGGCAATTAGTTCTGTTTGGAGTATTGACAATTGTATGCTGGCCTGTGTCTAAAGCAAACTTGGTGAATTTGTGGCCTTAAAAAAAACAGTAGTCATTTTTGGGAAGGATATAATATAGTTCCCCCCTCCCCCCAGAAACTCATATTAACTCAGTTCTTTTTTATCTTACCAAATTTCTTCTTATTTGCTGTATAGGAGAGACTGGATGGAAGCCAAGCATTAAAGAGAAAGGGTGAGCATTGTTTGGATAAAAAATGAAAAATGTCTACAATAGAGAGGTCACTTGCACCTTTAAAATATTAAAATATTTGTTTGTTGCAAAACTTGGATGTAACTGAAGCAATATTTGTAATGAACATTTTAAATATTCACAAAAATTAATCATACTACATTCCAATAACCCCCTTCGCCATTCATTTGCTTGAGGCAACATCTTCCCTCCAGGCTTTATCCCCAAATGACCATCATTAAAACTGAACTCACCAAACCCAGGTTTGAATTTCTAGATCTGTCTGTACTCATACTTTGCTTATAAAGGTCTGTTCCTAGGCAAGTCACTCCATGCCTCTGATGAAGTAGTTTTAGTCTATAAAAGCTTATGCTACCAACTTCTTTCGCCCAGTGTTTAAGGTGCCACAAGATCCTTTTGTATACTGATATTCCAGGATAATTCGACTATATCTTTAAAAAATGAACAAATCATACATTTTAATCTTGTTTGCATTTTGTTTCAAGTAAAGAACCCAAAGATCCAGATCAGCTCTACAGTACACTAAAAAACATTCTGCAACAAGTCAAGGTAAATAACACGTTCTCTCTCAATGTTTTGAGACTTTTGATTCTGTGGAGCACTGAATCATTTTCTTCTTCTTTTCTAAAGAGCCATCAAAGTGCTTGGCCATTCATGGAACCAGTGAAGAGAACCGAAGCTCCTGGATATTATGAAGTTATAAGATTCCCCATGGGTAATGGCATTAATTTTCTAAACCAGCGATTGAAGCTTCCTTAAAGTGTTATATGTTCTTAAATTCAGTGTATAGGCTTTGATCCATATGGAATGAGTAAATGTGCTAGCACTATTTTGTGAACTGTTCCAGCAGGTAACTTTGGTTGTACAACACCATGCTACATACTGATGAAAGTATATAAATTCATTAATCTTTTAATATTGTTGACAAGTTTGTAGAAGAGCTTGTGCCAAAGGGATTCATCACCCTTCCCCCTATGCAATGATTTCCTGATAGGTCAGAAATTAGGCTTTTCATAAGTAGTTCCTTTCTGCCTGCAAAGGCACTTTTGAATCTGAGGAAGGATTGTCTCAAGCCAACATGGTGTAGTGGTTTTGAATGTTGGGGAACTGTGACTCCAGAAGTTCCTGGATGTTGGTGAACTGCAACTCCCAACATCCTCTGTCAGTGGCCTGCAAACCCCACCAGTAGTTAAAAGTTGGTCATGATGGGTATGTGTGCCATGTTTCGTCCAGATCCATTGTCAGTGGGGTTCACAGTGCTCTCTGAATGTGGGAAAACTGTAACTCCCAACATCCCTGATCAGTCCCCCCAAATCCTGCCAACATTTAAAGTTGGTCATGTTGGGTATGTGTGATACGTTTGGTCCAGATTCACCAATGGTGGGGTTCACAGTACTCTTCATATATGGGTGAACTATAACTCCCATTGTCCTCTGCCATTGCCCCACAAACCTTGCCAGAATGTAGTTGGTCATGGTGGGTATATGTACCAAGTGCAGTCCAGATCCATTTTCAGTGAGATGAACTGTAACTCCCAGAATTCAAGGTCAGTTCCCTCTAAATGGAAGACAACTACGTGACTGGACATGTTGCACTTGCTCAGCCTTGGCCAGACTTCTGAATACTTTTTGCCAAAATAACTCTCTTAAAAGGGTTGCCATAAGCCAGAGCAAACATGGGGCTATATAACAATGTAATTGTGTCAAAAGAACTTTGGTAATTAGAAGAAACCGCCTTGAAATGTCAGGCTTGTCGTTATTGTAAGGTCATGTTTGTTAGCATCCAATTGGTGACTTACAGCAGCATAAGGATCTACTGTGCCAATGTAAACTACTTTTTTGAGTGACAGGTGGTAGAGAAGACCTAATTCATTAGAAGATAAAAAGGTCCTCTCAACTCCCAAGCAGATCAGGAGCAGACAGGACAGGTCTGCCACCTGACAGTAACAGCTATTGCCTATTGCTCTTCCAAAATGGGGAGGGGGGAGTGCATTTTCAAGGGTTTAGGTGGTTTTGGTGGAACTGAACTGAAGACCATTGTGATGTTGGCTTCCCCCGTTTATATCCCATCTGCCATAGCTTCATGTTTTAAATAATACTTTCCTCAGTCTGTGATGTCATCCAGAGCTTAGCACCTCCCACCATAGAAAATGGGGGGAAAGAGAAAAGAATGTACCCTATACGGTTCCGGCCCAGCGTATCTGTCCGAACGCATCTCCCTCTACGTCCCACCTCGGAGTTTACTCTCTGCCCCGCCTCTATCACAAGTGAGGCTGGCGGGCACGAGGAGCAGGGCCTTCTCGGTGGTGGCCCCTCACCTATGGAATTCACTCCCCGGGGAAATTAGATCATCGCCATCCCTCCTTTCCTTTAGAAGGAAATTAAAAACATGGATTTGGGACCAGGCGTTTGGGCAATTTGGCAGATAAATAAAGGACAACGACAACTAATAGGAATGGAAAATGTGGAATGAAGTTATGGACTCTGAGTTGCGAACGTTGAGCATAAGATTGGTTTTTTATTGACTGTGATATATTTTGATTGTTTCTAACTGTTAAACTGTTTAATGGCTGTCTATATTTTATCTGTATTACTGTGTAGACATCGAATTATGCCTTTTTATAAGCCGCCCTGAGTCCCCCCTCGGGGGTTGAGAAGGGCAGGGTAGAAATACAATAAATAAATAAATAAATAAATGCCATTCAACTCCCATGCCCTCCAAACACATCCTGCAGACTGCACCAATATTCTACTTCTGAACAGTTGGTTAGAAATAAGACCTGATTTGTGTTATTTTACAGACCTGAAAACCATGAGTGAACGACTGAAGAATAGATACTATGTGTCTAAGAAGTTATTCATGGCAGATCTTCAGCGAGTCTTCACTAACTGCCGAGAGTACAACCCACCAGAAAGTGAATACTATAAGTGTGCCAATATACTGGAGAAATTCTTCTACACAAAAATTAAGGAAGCTGGGTTAATTGACAAGTAATAATTGTCTTTCTCCCATGCAGCCAGGATGCCTAATTGAGGAGCAGCATATGCAGTTATTTTTCAGTGGAACTGGGACTGATGTTTTAAAGAATTTTGTTTTCTGAACTAGCACTTTTAAAAACTGTAAGATAGAAGAGTTTATTTTATTAAAAGTCTTTTTAAATGTACACCTGCATGCCCTTTTGCAGTGTATTAAACTTTTATTAGATGTATTGCACAGACTGTTTGGAGATTTGAAAAGGAAAGTTTTCCAAGCAGTGAATGTTTAAGCTTAATGTAATGCAGTATCAAATAGAAAAATAGCTTTTTATTTTTTACAGCAAAGTTGCTGATGAAGGGGAAAATGAGTTTTATAGATATATTTTAATTAATAAAACACTCAACTTAGAAGGTGCTATGAGAAAGCAAGAAATCACTGCTTTAAGCTGCAAAGATGAAAATCCCAAAACAGGTTTCCTCTATAGATTTGGTTATAAACATTTACTTTTGTAAAGAAAACCTGTTTTAAAATGTAGCATCACACTAATGGCTGTGTGAGTCATGTTCCCAAAATACTACAAATGACACCTTTCCTATTATTCTAGTTTAGGTGTTTAATGCACTTTTATGGCATAGAAAGCCATTCTGTCTTCATTTTTTGTAGCACTACTGTGAAGAGATGAAAAGAGATCAAAAGTTCACATCTGGAACTATGTGCTACCTAAAACTGACTGTCACACTAAAGCATGCATGCAGGTTCATGTATGGAGAGAACCAACACCATGAGATCCAGTGAGCAGTAGATATGCATTCCTTCATGCAAATGGGAATGTGTGCCTGTTGTGCCTTCCATTCAATTATGACAGGTGCTACTGCTTTTCTGTCAGTCTTAACCATGCTTAGATCACACTCTAAAATCAATGGGACAAGTCATGACTTCTCTTACTGATTTTAGTGTTCAATGTGACAGCATCTAGATCTAATACAATACATGCATCTTTGTTTGGATCAGCACCAGAGAGGACCTGCTCAAAGGTTTCATGAATCTTCTTAAGGAGTTGTGCATGCGTTCTTGTCTCTCAGTGTAAACATATGGAACCTTGTGTTATATATTAGTTAGCCCTCCACATTTGTGGGTTTACCTTTTGTGGATTTGATTAATATATTTGCAGGAAAGTGTAGGTTTCCCAGTGCGATTCTATGGTCAGCTTTCATTAGAAATTGATTATAGAGCTATGCTGGAGGACCCAGAGATTCTTAGAGAGAATACCTCTCTAGGAATCTCTAGGACCTCCTGCACAACTATATGACCAATTTCCAGTGACAGCTGACCATAGGGGACCTAAAGAAGTATTCTCAGGTTTTTAAAAAATGTGGTATTTGTAAGATTGGTGTTTCTACTTTCACAAGGGTCTTGCAACCCTAACCCCAGCAAATAGGGAGGGCTAATTACTTCAAACAGATGAGGTGAGAAATGGGTGACTCTCTGGGTGTTTCTGAACTAAAGATATTAATATTCTTCCTTATCAGTTATGCTGGAGAGGACCATGCAATTCCCAGATCTGAACTAGATTTTTCAAACAACATTCTATGGCAACAACAACCAGACCACTACTAATCACATAATGGTATAAGAAGATACTTCTTATATACATAGAACATACTTCCATTTATGTAACTGGCTGGGTTAAGCTGGAGACAGATATGCACTAACCATGTAGTTCTGCTATTTTACCATACTGGCAGGGAAGGAATAAGATATCTAAATGGTCTTCATTTCTTTAATTTCATTCCTGCAGTGGCATTGGAGAATTTGAGTTTCATGCTTTTTTTATATGTGCAGAAATACTTCACTAACAAGTCTGTGTTACAAAAGGATTATCATTATTTGCAAAGCACCTATATTAGTTTGTTCTAATTCTATGACTAGGAGACCCTTGATAGATGGTACAAAAATAGTCAAAATGGTAACATAGAAATGCCTTAGTGCTTTATATAAAATCAAGATTTATTTGGCTTTGTATTTAAGGTACAACGATGCAACTGTGTATTAGAGTATTTAAGTAGTAATTTTCAAGTTATTTTGTAAACTGGGCCAACGGAATCACCTCTTAAGCTTGATAACCTGTGAAAGTGTTATTTTCAAAGATTCTTACTGTCTTGAAATTAGAGTCTCTTCTATATTGAGAACACCTGGTTTCTAATTTAAAAGATTATTTTCATAGATATTGTGCAATAAGGCTATATAAAGTACAATGTGTTTTCAATGCTTTAACTGAAATTTTACATTTGTAAAATTATTTATTGTACTAGTATAAAATGGATTTAAATTATATGTTTAAAATCTTGTGTGCTATTTTGTAATTTGCATATAAAAATACCTGAAGTATTCATTTTTGTCTGTGCAGCCTTCATATTACTTTCAGATTTGTTACCTTCATAATAGGGTAGGTAAGTGTGTCCTCTGACCTTTGGCCATTAGGAACTGGGATCTACCAAACTAAAACAAACCCTACATAATTGCGTGTTCGCTAATTTTTTTACAAATTCATTAAAAAATAGTCTTGAAGTAAGATGAATCTATTGAAGATCTATAGTCAACCTCAGTACGTTGTCTACAAATGTAACATTTTTGCCCCTTCAACAGAAAAGTGTCTCAAAGTAGCTTACAAAGATCAGCACAACCGCACTCCCAGGATATACAATTTAAAATACAGAACATAATATGTCAGGGGAAAACATGAAGTCCGAATACTTCAGTTTTTAAAAAAACATAAAACCAGAAAATGAAGACAATTCAAGGAAAGGAGAAGCTAGTGCTGCTTGGACTTTCAATTGAACTGATGAACTGGTTGTCTTTACTCCCTCTGCTGTAAACCTGATGTAATAGCTGTTGGCAGGTGACTGTTGAAGGGCCTGGCTGAATTGAGCAGAATGAAAAGCACGAGAAGTGCTAGCTGATAATCGGGAGCATTCCAATCTATATCACAAACCACCACGTCAAGTTGGTAATAAAATGGATTTAACTGCAGGTCCAGTTTACATAGTCACCAAAGAAAGTTTCTCAATGTTCATTGTGGTTTATTTCTAGACAGGTGTACAATTTGCAACATTACAGAAGATCTTTGCTATTGTCTCTGTAACTATGAAACATTCAGAATAGTGGGAGATGAATAGTATCTAAAACGAGAGTACTGCCAAGCCAAAACAGAATTATCATTTTTAGTTTAAAAAATATTATAAATTGATTCTACTAAGAAGCTCAACAATTACGTTTGAAGCAAAGGTTAAAACATCTGCACTTGAATACTCATACTAATACTAATTTGTTAATAAAACCTAAATTATAAGCTAAAAATAATTCCTGCACTCTGTATAAACACTTCCCCAAATTTTATGGCGTAATTACTAAAAGCTATATACCAAAAATGTCCTAGTGGCCCTCCAGATGTTTGGGCCTCCAACTCCCAGAAGCCAGTTTCTCCAACAACAAGGAATACTGAGAGCTGAAGTCCACAACACATGGATAGCTACAAGCTAGACACCACTGCTATAGACAGTTTTTACATTTGTCCGCTTAATACATTGCTCAAGATCTCTTCACATACAACTTGGAATTACATGAACTGCCTATGTGTTTTGTGGTGACGATCAAGAGAAGTGTTGCCAAGCTGTAACTTTGAAGATCATTATGGTGAAATAATGTATTTTTCCATCTTGATGTTTACCAATATACTTTACCATTGTAACACATTTTGTCCTTTGAAATGATCTTAGCGGCAGCCAACAAAAGCTTCATTGTATCTGGACAGTGATTTCTTTTTAATACTCTTCCTGCTCTTTTTCTCTTTAAAAATTGGAGAATTCAGAAAACCAGTGTCTGTATAAGGGTCTCCTCTTCTGAGCTTCCTATCAAAACAAATTGGCAAAAATTTACATCCTCAGATGTATAATATGGACCAAGATCTCGTATACTTTTAGTATGGTGTTAAATATATGCCAGTAGATGTGCTAGATCTATAACTGAGCAACTGATACCAAGCCTTGAATTAATTCATTGAAAAATGGCTACGCTCCCCATACCCAACTCAAAAGTAGAGGCTCCATGTGCTCTTGTGAAACAATTGGCTACATTATGGATTGTACTAACCCAAGTGCTGGGAAAATGCAATCACCTCTGCAACTATGTTGCATTAATGTGCTCTAGATTTAAGTTGCAATTCTTGCCTTGTTGGCATAATTAAATTTATATCAGGAAATAATGTTATTTTCAGAAGAGACCTATATATAAAATATGCTACTTTTCACAACCCCTGGTAACTGGAACCAAATACACTAACCTATTGATACTTGGTTCCTTGTAGCTGACAGAAATAGTACATCGACGTCTATTATTTGAAGTATATTTTTCTTCAGAACTGGGGAGTGAGTGAGCAGCTCTGGTATGGCTAGATGATGAAGATGCAACATTGGTAATATTGCCAAGATGGAGACGTTCTTGGGGAGATGAAGGTGGCTCATCTGTTAAAAAAATAAAGGTGTTATTTCTGTACCCATTGTCGGTTCCTGCTATGGAGTAGAAGAAGTAACTCCCTTTCTTCAGGCTCTAGCTCCTCCAGCAAGACTGCTGGAAATAAGAGTCCATAGTATCTTGGAGGGCCTAAGAATATTTTTATAATCAAATCCATAACAGTCAAATCCACAAATCTGGAGGGTCAACTGTACCTACAAACAATCTAGGTTATATACTTCCCTAACATGACCAACTAAACATTTCTATCTACTTATGATAGAGATGGATGGATCTTGGATATTCATGGAAAGCTGGGAGTCTTACACCTTTGCCTAGCCTGTGATCAAGCTACCTTAGGTGAGGCAGACATATCAGTCTCTTGATCTCTCTATACCATGTGAAATTTTGTTCTATTTTCTTGAAGCTTTGGCACTTCTCCCAAAATGATAATCCCCAGAGTAACTGTATCAACATTTCTGTGACTCCTTCACAATACTGACCCCTCCAATAAATATAACAACCCAACCCTTTCATAACTCTCATTTACCTAGAGGGACTATTCCTCTCAGCTGTGTTGTGCATTCTCACATTCTCCAATTGTGCTTACTTCAAATAGCACAATTATAATGATCACACTTTTTACTTAATTTCAGCAAAATAAGTCAACTTTTTGCACCACCCTCTGTTATCAGCCTGGCCATGCTTTAAAGCCATCCAAGGAAGTTCTTCCCTCTAAAAGAATATAACATTATTTAATAATAAAAGAATTCCAACTTGGAACATCCTTCCATGGTCATACAACTAGCATCATACTATTTTCAGAGCCTGGTCAAAACATATAATTGAGTGGTGTATTTAATTTAAAATGTATCTTCTGGTTATTAGCTTTACGATTTTACTAAATTTTTCTTACTAATTTGAAAAAATGCCCAGATGGCATAAGGTGAATAGCAGTATATCAATATTCACCAACTAAAAATGAAATTACTAAATTACTACATTAGACGTGACTGCCAAACACATCTAGGTGGATTCTGGTGACAAACAAGCATATAAATGAATATTACTGCAGGGATGAGGAATGTAAAGCTCTGGAACAGCACTGTGGCCATCAAAACTGTTTTTATGGCCCTTGGCCATTCTGAACTTTCTAGACCACCCCCTTTTCTGACCAAAAAAAGGAGTGAATTGCAGGCAACCTGAGCCACCACAGAAAAAGGCAGGAAGAAAAGACAGCATTCTCTGGGACCTCTATCAAGGGAGAGCAGATCCCAGGATGGCCATCTGCCTTAGAAGCAAGCAGCAAATGGTTTGGAGAACATTGTCAGGGTTGAACAAAAGCTTTCTCCAACAAGGGAACACTAGGAGAGAGACCAAGAGCTCACAGCAGCAAAGTAATAACAGAAGACCCTTAAAGGCAAAACAGGACCAATAATCCTTTGCAGTTGCAGCTCTGTTTTTCCTCACCCAACATACTTAGGTAGAAGACATGGGATAGACTAAGGAACTATCTGGCCAAAAAAGGATTTCAAATACCAGCCAATAATAATAACAACAACAACAACTTAATTTTTATATCCCGCCACCATTTCCCTAGGGGACTCGGGGCAGCTTACAAAGGGACAAGCCCAAAAATTACAGATAAAAACAGAGACACAGTTAAAATCAATCAACAAAAATACTAAAACATAACACAATCATAAACAGCATCATAAAACAATATTGCTGAGATAAAGGTCATAGTTGACCTTTATTCAGGCTCAATGAGTGCAAATAATTCCTAAAAGGAGCCAATGCAAAGTGGGGAAAATTGAATGAACAGGGGCTAGGGAATACCGTTGGCGAAAGTATCAAGGTAGCCAATAAAAGGGCAGACATAAAGTGCAGAACTTAAGGTGGGGACAGGATTGTTCTCTGATGAACTGCCTAATCAAAGGTACAACTGAACATCCAGATTTTTAATTCCTTCTGAAAGGAGGCCAACATGGGAGCCTGTGTGATCTCCCTAGGGAATTTCAAAGCCAGGGGGCCACCACCGAGAAGGCCCTCTCATCTCTACCAGCCACACTTGGTACAGCGGCGGAAGAGAGAACAGACTCCCCAGATGATCTCGGGATATGCACTGGTACATAGGGTAAGATGCGATCGCAAAGATAGGCAGGTTCTGAACCATTTAGGGCTTTGAAGGTGATCACCTGCACCTTGAATTGGGACCGGAAACTTATTGGAAGCCGTGGAGTTGTTTAAACAGAGGGGTTCACTGCTCCCTGTAACTAACTCCCGTAAGCAGCCTAGCTGCAGATCTTTGAACCAACTTTAGTTTCCGGACTGTCTTCAAGGGCCAGATCACCAACTGCCTTAAGAAACAGCAGGAGAGGGGATTCAATAGAGGGTATTGCTAACTAAAGACTCCTCTCTTAGTCCCTTTACTGTAATCTGAATAAATGAAAGAAAACCTTCTGCAGTCTCATTATGATCACCATATTGAAACTTTAACAGACTGTTCAGGACAGCAACAGCCAAAAACAAGTAGCAAGTGGCCAAGACTGAAAAGTCATTAATTTTTAAACATTGTTTTTAGGGAGAAAAAAGATAAAATCTTATATGTGTCTGTAACACACAAACAGTGAGATACCTGCTTCAATCCTAGTTGACTCTTTCGGATTTATCATATATCCAAATTTTACATGGACATGTGATTTTTAAAAAAGTTGGGTTTCCCAGTACAATTCAATGAGGGAGAACTAGGAAACCCTGAATCTGAAGTTGAATTTAGGACATTGCTGGCTTGAGAAAAAATGGCTTAAAAGATGAAGCCAACACTGGGGAGTCATTTTCTGAAGTTGCAGAGTTTTCTTGTTTCAGGGATTAGGGATCCATGAAGTCAGAAGGAACCTAGAACTTGAGTTGATAGTACCAAGTTCCAGCTAGAAGTTGTTAAGAGTTTCCTGTTGCATTTCTCAGCTGATAAACACAAAGAACCTCGTGGACAAGTGGTAATATTTTCTTCCTCTGGGAGAGGATCAAAGGAAAGAAACACCAAATCCAGCTTTTTCACATTTGAAAACTGCAGAGGAGAAAGGATTGAAATAGTAGCAGGGTACAATGGCCACATGACCTCCTTTATAGAAATCACTCCAGAAATGCATCAATGGCAAAGGATACATTGGGATATGGTTATTTATATGTAAAGATGCATCATCGTTATTTTAGATATGAAACAAATAGAGGGGATGTCTGCACACTATTTATAAGGTGAACTGTCTTTTCCCCCACTCCTTTTATTTACCAGTTTCAGAGGATTTTGGAGGCAATATACAACCCACATACAGGTATTAATTTAAAAGCACAGTGATAAAATAGAACTCACCTGGCACAGTTTTCTTGTCCAAACGATTTTCATCTTGTGTAGCACTGCTGTTTTCCTTGTCAGGATTTTTATCATGTTGCTTACTCATCATCTTGTTTAATCGTGGTCTCCTGTGTACTGGGCTTACAACACGTTCACAGCATGATTGGTTTCTAGATTTTGATTTTTTGATGCAAGGTAGGTAGAGGCTGTCATCAGAGTCATCTTCAGAAAGGGATGAGTCACTACTACATGTCTCTGTTTTTTCTTCTATGTAATCTTTGTCATCAGCCTTATTTTCATTTTCTTTGTTCTGTCGGAAAGGTGTAACATGGACACTCTCCTCACACATAAAATCATAAGCATCACTGGAACCAAGTGATGCATCTGTTCTTTCTTTAGAACAGTGCTCTTCAACATGGTTCCTCTTTTTCTTGGATCTTGACTTGGATACATTTTTTAGTGTTTCCAGTTTTCTCTTCTGTGTTTTAAGATTTCCAGAATTTTTAAATTCAGTTTGCTTTGTGGCTGGTGTCAATGTATTTGTTTCAGTCAGCATATCTAACAGGTCCGGATTTTGATCAGCGTTTATCTCATGCGTACTCTCTTTGCAAACAGAGGTTTCTTCGCATTGTTCATTATTTTCCTCCAATCTTGTCTCGAGTCCAGTTTTATCTTGCTGCCAAGGATCTGTTATTTGCTCAGTTATTTTCGCATTGTCATCGACACATATAAGCAGTTCATTTTGCCTTGTAATTCCCAAATGGCGACGACGGGTAGATACATTTTTTGGTAAGGAATTACCAATTTGCCCTTCACAGTCCAAATGGACTTCATTTTGCCAACCTGGAAATTTAAAATAATGGGCATAAATATTAGGTGGTACTAGATTTAAAGAGAGCAAATTTAACACCCATATTTCTAGAGAAGTTTAAACATTAAGTATTTTAAGAAATTGACTATATATTTCCATGTTGATTAATGAGAATTACTAAAATACCATGCGATAATTGGACATGACAAATATGGTTAATTAAGATTGTAGAATGGTCCACTAGATAGAAGAGTTATGATTAACATGTAATATTCCCTGTACGTGATAGAATTCCAGTATAAATAATTTATTTCCCACACTCACTCTGCCAAAAGAAACATCAAACCGTTAGAAGAGGGAGAAATGTTCTCATTTAAATTCTTCCTTTTACCCCATCACACTTTATTTGTAACTGAACAGGAAAAATGTCTCTAAGAGAAGGGAATGGGGAAAAAACAAATATCTAGATCTCCAAAAGTTAGTGATGCACTGACTGTGAGGGAAGAGAACAAGGCTGGACTCAGCTTGATTGAAAAATTCTGTGTGAACTTCTAAGTCTCTGTGTATTCTCTATATATGACTTGTTTCACAAGGGAATTGAGGGTGGCTATATTAAGATAACCTAGTAAAAAAACTGAGCAAAATCTGATCAGTGGAAAATATCAACAGCAGCAGAATAATATATTATGAGACTCCTCCAGAAACAAAGATAACAATTATGATCAATGAGGACATAGAATGACATGGTTTAAATAGTACAAAGCCAGAAACTGACACTTAAGAATACCCAGCAAAAATGCAGAAAAGAAAAAAAAGAATAAACATTACAATCTGGACAGTCAAACTTGAAATAAGACCAAAAAAATTACCCTGCCCCCTTCATCATAAACCAGAATTAAAAACAAGTTATTGTAACTTCTCAATAACAACAACAACAATAAACAACTTTATTTATACCCCGCCACCATCTCCCCCAACGGGGACTTGGGGCGGCTTACATGAGGCCAAGCCCAGGCAACAAATTACAGCAAAATAAAACCAAAAACACAAGCAACAAACATCATAATTGCATGAAAACATATGTGTGGTGAAGTGTAAGTTTTAATTTACAGTTATGTATAATAACAGGTGTTTAAAAGGGTAAGTATTTAAACTAGCATAACTGGGGGGATGGTAGCCAGCTCAACTCACTTTGAGCTGGGTTGCCATGGAAAAGGGGCAGAGCCAACTGCCACTTGGCAGGGCAGCCATTTTAAAATAGTTAGTCTGTAGTCAGCGAACTACAGGGAAGGCTAGTTCTGTTGTGTGTGGAGAACCAGTAAGGTAGTCTGTAGTCTAAGAACTACAGGGAAAGGCTGATTCTACTATATTGAGAATCAGGAAGGTTTTGGCTTTTAGCCTGTGTACTTTAGATAGGTCGAGTTGACTTATTTATATTAGTCAGTGTATGAGCAAAAGGGGGAGAGAACCCTAATAAAAATCTTTACTGCAACAGAAATAACATAAGGAAAGAATAAGCTTGTACCTGAAGTAATCTGTTAAAGAAAGAAACACATTTTGAAGGAAAATAAGTTTGAAACCTGTTTAGTGGAAGGAATAGTCCTCTTAAGAGTTGTTTTATGAAATGTTATAAATGTAACCACTGAAGAAATGTGCCTCTAAGAGTTAAGAAACATTGAAACCACCAAGCTTCTTCTATACTTCAATAAACTTGTTAAAGATCCTTCTAAAGCCAAGTCTCTGTTACAAATACTTTCAAGTTAAGCCAAGCTACAGATTGAAGAAAGACCAATTCAATATTACAAGCCATTAGTTGTGTTATCAATTTAGTAAGTCCTTACAAAGTCCTTTACAAACCATTACAATAACACAATCAATGTGTCCTCTTTGCAATACTGAAAAGGAAGTGGGCACATTCAAAAGTCACAGTACCTATTGTTGTTAATGTTACGGTATTTTATAGCAAGAGGTTTTGGTATTTTTTTCAGTACATGGATTGATATTGCTGAATAAAATATAGGGTTGAATCAATAAAAACCCTTGTGATTAGCCCCAAAAGATTCCCACTTCAAAGCACTCCCAATGTCAGGAGCTCCTGCTGAGTGGAGTGTAATGTATATGCTGACTTGCAAGCCACTGCTGACTTGCAAGCCACTTTTCAGTGAAACTTGGTCTTACACATTTAAATTCCCACTAAATATTCTTCAATAGCTGAATCTTCAATTCAGGTTTTAGAACTGTAAACATGGGATCACCTACCTGTATCTGTCTGTGATGTCATTATTACAGATGCATTTCTAACATCTGAGGCATCCTTATTAATGTTATCCTGCATTTTGGTTTCATGTGTTTTATCTTGTTTACTTACATCTGCTGGAAGTCTTACAAGTGTCCTAAAAATGAGTTAGAGTAGACTGAATTAAAACAAAACGTTTTTCACACACCATGAAAACTAAAGCACTTTTCAATATTTTAAATATATATTTCCATTTGTATTTATTTTTGAAGAAAAAAACTTTGACTTTTATGTGTTCATTTGCCTAAAAGAGGTCCCCAACTTAAAATGTACAATGGATGATTGCAGAGCATATTTGAATCCTAGTCTCAACCAATGAATTTTCTGTATTGCTTAACTTAGCAATGGGCCATTAAGGAACTCTGGAGAAACATATATTTTCTAACCAATCACACAAATCCCCCCATGGGCATAGAAGGATTTTTCATCATGTTTTCATTTCCCTAAGCTATTTTAGGAGATGACTTTAAAAGAAAATATATCAATTTCTACTTCATTATGATTATGATTATTTTAAAAAAGCTTATCCTAGACTGAAAATAGCCCAGGGAGAGTGAAACCATGGTGAAATTGCCCTTGTGCCACTGAGAGGACATTTTAGAGGCAAAACTTTTCCCAGTTTTTTTTTTTTGGGGGGGGGGGGGGGGGGTTACATTTTCCTCATTGTACCTCTACAATGTTTAGATTCATAATATGCTATTACTTTCTACTGAATCACAATTTCACCATTATATGAATATTTTAGAGCTTTCTGCTGTTATTTTTTTTTCTTTTTGATAGGTCTTTTAAACTCTGACCACTCCATTTTAATATGGATACACATGGAAGTCTGAAGAAGGCCCACCCATCTTTTCCTTTGTTAAGTCTAGCACCATCCTAATTTAGACTTGATGTTGTAAAAGAAAATTACAATTTTCAGTGTATACGTTCACACTTTTCATACCCAAAATTTTTGGTAAACTGATGGACCCTATTTGATCAATTGCAGATAGATCCTCCTGGCAGCAAAAGGATTTAAACAAATACTGATACTTCCATCTGTGGAGTGCTTAGCATAATTTATTAATATGAACTCCAGTATGTGTCTGCTCGATTAGATTAATAAACAATGATTTCCTTTTTGACTACGACGTCTGTCAGGGGCAAGAAAAGTCTAGGTCCAAATATCAAGATTTCTCAAGACATAACATAAATAAAATGCAACAACTACCAGTAAAAAAATGAGGGAAAATGCATTTCAGTGACCAATTAGCTATCGTAAGTGTAGTTCTGAATATATCACATTTTAAAATGTACATTCCTGATAGAAGTTTCGCCAAACTTTTGAAAGAACAAGCAAAAGGAAAATTGTAAACAAATAAAATCTACTTACATATAATCTTGGTTTCTTAAACTGCTGAAATCATGCTTTTCAAGATCTGCTGAACATAAAACCTCATTCTGCAAAATGGAAAGATAGAATGGAACCTTTTATTTGGTGGAATATACTTTGTGTGTGTAGGGAAGTCAGATGTCTGGAAACTATATAGAACACTAAGTTCCTTTATGAGATATTCCAGTGGAAGGTAACACTTCTACAGCCAAACAGTGATCAAACGAGAAGTCAATTCCCTAAAGAGGCATTTGAGGAGGCACCATAGAATCTGATGGTTCAGCAATGAAGTTATTATTACCCTCCTTGATACCAATTCAGGCGCTGTTGTAATTATTATTATTATCCTTATTATCCAAAACTGAGTCTCAAATGCACCCACAAATCAAAGGAGAGGAAAACAGACTTACAAAATCTGTGGTACACTGATCATTTGCAGGACTAAGATGATTTCTGGCACACAGTAGATCTCGAACCACTTTAGAAATTATCTTCTTCACAGTCAGTAATCTAGACTATTGCAGAACAAAAACTCAATTGTTGTAGTTGTACAAAGCAATTAAAAACATACAACCCACTAACATTTCTATATTCAAAAGACTTCTGTGGATGTAAAACCAGATCCCCCTTCCTCACGGGCTAAATTATCAGTGTTAACACGTCACTTTTATTTGGTTACATGTTCTTGTAGTCTTCTTTGTTAATACCATTAGTTTACCCAACAGTTTGAAGAAAGCTATGTATATACCACAACATTCTACTTGTTTTAACTGCTTTAAGTTATTTCTTTAAGGTATTATTTCTAATTTAAGTGGAGGTTCCAAACTTTGGATTGTAAGCAAGGCCACATATCTTAACCAGCAAATCAATAAACTAAAGTTCAATCATTCTAAATCTTCAGGAAATTTAATCAATAGTCACAAAATGCCTGTTGTGTTTCATGGTTGTGATTCCTAATTAATGATGACTTGTCTTCATTTCCCAAGCTTAATTTCTGAAGCACTCTCTATTATTTTGTAGTGAAAAAGACTGGGTGTTATTATATTGATAACACTCTTCCACTATACCAAATATTCAAGGGTGCTTCAAAACTTAAGCTTGAGAAATGAAGAAAAGTCATATTGATGACAAAACAAATCTGTTATGTATTCTCGTCATACAATTTAACTTATTCATTTTCTTCCCTTCACTTCATGCACTCAGAAGTTACACTGTAACAATCTAAACACGCATTTTGTTGTAAAATTTACATAGAAGTACACTATAATGCAAATTTCCTAGGTATAAGACCATGAATGCTACCGCTGAATCTTAACTGAACCCACAGAATCCCAATGTTTCAATGAATCTTCCTTAGCTGAACTATCATCATCATCATCATCATCCCCCACCCTCTCTCTGCAAAAGGAGACTCAATGCAAAGACAGTAACGTGCCCAATGTCTTACTGATTACTTTTTAGGGACCAAACATCGTGCAGAAATACTAAAGGGATACTGTCAGTAGGTTGGCCTCAGAAATTGTTTTTCAAAGATGAGGTAGAGTTCAGAAAGCTTAAAAAATATCTTGTATTGTAGTTATATACGTTTTGTTTTATTCCACATTGTATCTTTCAGCTCTGGGTGTTTCAGTAAATATGCTTTATCTTGTAAACATTAATTTTATTTGAGTTGTAGGACCATCTTTACATTGGGATGCTCAGTGAAAAATATCCCATGACACTATGTGAATAAATGAATGAGATTTACTGAGAACTCAGCAAAATCAATCTGAATGACTGAATGTAAAAAGTTCTACTTCAAAAATTATATATCTGCAATAAATTTTCATTTTTAATAAAACAAATGCACATGTGAAACATATTAAAATAAATACCTCATTGTGTTCTTTTTCTTGTTGCAACCCTAGCTTTCTTTGCAAGGCAAACACCTGAAATTGCAGCTGCTGATATTCTCGTTTTAAATGTAGGATAATATCTTGTGCTTCCTTCAGTTTGCCCTTCTCCACTTCTAAAGCCAGAGCTAATGCACGATTGTTTTCTTGGAAGCTTTTAAGCTGCGCAGAAGAGTTGTCTGGAAGAAAATCAGAGATAGTCAGTTCCTGTCACTTCTGTTTCTGAGAAAACTTGAGTAGAATATTCAAAAATTACCTGTAATTTTAGCCTTGATAGTTAAAACTTGGTTTGTTTTGCCCAACTTTGCCCATTTATTATTTCTCTTCTCTTTCATTCGTTCCTTGATATCTTCCAAGGTGTCTTTAAATGACTTCTTCAAGCACCTTTCTCTAACCATTTTGGATCTTAGAGCATAAGGAAAGAAGTAAAAATTTAGAGAAAATAAAAAGCACCCTTAATCTCTTCATAAAGTGAATCTCACGTATATAACATAGCATATCCACTGAATTTGGTGAAACACTATCCAGTTGTTTCTGTTTGATGTAATATGGAATATAATTCTACTTATGCAGGTGGCTCAAAGTTACCCAGTTTCCATATGCCCAAATATGAACACAGATGGAGTTTGGAGGAAATAGACCTTGACATTTAGGAGTTGTAGTTATTGGGATTTATAGTTCACCTACAATCAAAGAGCATTCTGAACCCCACCAATGACAGAATTGGGCCAAACTTCCCACACAGAACCCCCATGACCAACAGAAAATACTTAAGGCCATCCAGTCCAACTCCCTTCACCAGGGCAAGAAAACGTAATCAAAGCCCTCCTGACAAAGAGCCTTCCAGCCATAGATATAGATAGATAGATAGATATGATTCACACAGAGAGATATAGTATCATAGATTTGAAAGGGACCTCTGAAGGACAATTATATGTTGCATGTTCCAGAGTAGGCAAACCAAACACTCTCCACATCAACACTGACAAAGAAACAGCAAGAATGCACACATACATATCAGATCATAAGAAACTAAGCTAAGCAAGATGGTACTTTGATGGGAGACTGTCAACGAATACCAGGAGCTTCAATCTATACTTCAGAGGAAGGAATTGTCAAAAACCACCTCTCAAATATTCCTTGCCTAAGTAAACCTATTAAATCCATGGGGTCATCATATTAGGTGAATTGAATACACACATTCTGACCATAGAACCCTGTCAAAGAAAAATAACACACACATTTTGGTGTCTCAAATGTTAGACCTTTTTGGGGGGGGGGGGGGTAAATCTGACCTGCTGATTCCAATGTTGGCACCAGTTCTTCCCTAGCAGCTCTAGTTTTTGAGATACAGAACATATGTCATATACTAGTCTTCATCTGCTTGTCCTCAAAATACTAAACACAAAATAAAGTAATAACTGTGTCAAAGAAACTAGAGCTGGTGCAGTCTATCAGAGCTAAAAATAAACCCAGCAACAGGCCTAAAACCAAGTTACCAAGAAAAGTCAGACCTCGGTAGCATTTGGAATCATTTATGTTCAGTCAGAGAAGGTAGTTTTATTTCCACAATACCCATTTTGCTATCTAAATTGGTTTGGATAGAACAGTGAATTTGGCAAATCTTAACTTGAATCTTAACCCACTTTCTTAACCTCAGAGCCTTCTGAATAAATTTGCCAAGAAAACCCCACGGTAGGTTTGATTTCGGGAACAGCATGGTGCAGTGATATGAAGCCCCATCTACACTGCCATATAATCCAATTTCTGATATCAGTTTATCTGCTTTGGATTACATGGCAATGTAGACTCATAAAATCCAGTTTAAAGCAGATAACCTGGGATCTGATATTGGATTATATAGCAGTTCAGATCCATCTTGAGTGTTGGGACGATGACTCTTAGGTCCCATCTTCACTGCCATATAATCCAGTTTCTGAAACCAGATGATCTGTTTTAAACTGAATTATATAGCAATGTAGACTCATATAATCCAGCCATCAAAGCAAATAATCTGGATTCAGAACCTAGATTATGTGGTAGTGTAGATTTAGCCTTAGGCCCCTTCCACACAACTGTAAAAAATCCTACATTATCTGGCAGTGTGGCCTCAGATAATCCAATTCAAAGCAGATATTCTGGGTTAGATGGCTGTGTGGAAGGGCCCCTAGACTCTGAGTTCAAATCCCAGTTCAGCAATGTAAAACGATTGGATCACAGTCTTGGCCCCAAAAAACACTGTGACAATTTTGTTTTAGTCACTGTAAGTTAGAAACCATTTGATGGCACAGCAATGAGAAAAGCATCCCTGGACACAACGTGAAGGTACACAACAACAAGGCAGTGCTTCTTTTAACAGTGTTTCGTTAAAAATCGTTCTCGCCTTACATGATCCCTTTTTTGCAATTGACTGGTTGATTTTTGATACTAACCATCCAAACAAAGTAATATACACTCAGGGCCCTTCCACACAGCTCTATAGCCTAAAATATCAAGGCAGGAAATCCCACATTATCTGAGTGTGGACTCAGATAGTCCAGTTCAAAGCAGATATTGTGGGATTTCCTGCTTGATATTCTGGGATATAGAGTTGTGTGGAAGGGCCCTAATATACACTCAGAAAGAGAAAAGTCATATAAAATAAAGGACATATAGCTAAAACACAGTAGGGCTCCAAGGCCCCTTCTACACGCCCATATAATCCAGATTGGGTTGTTGTAGGTTTTTTTTGGGCTATATGGCCATGGTGTAGAGGCATCCTCAGAGGTAGTGAGGTCTGTTGGAACGAGTAAAGGGGGTTTATATATCTGTGGAATGACCAGGGTTAGAGAAAGGACTCTTGTCTGATGGAGCTAGGTGTGAATGTTTCAACTGACCACCTTGATTAGCATAAAATGGCCTGACAGAGGAAAAGTCCTCTTGTCATACATCAAGGGAACCACTGACCACATAGGGAAGCTGATGAGGAAACACAACATACAAACTATCT